TAATATCACTAAATTGAGGTCATTTTAAAATAAAATGAAATTCATCCTCAATATCTAAATGACACATTTCACAATATCTGTTATTTACTGGTATGTTATTATGACGACCATATTCAATAGCTAGATTATGGGATGACATACGTATTTTACTTAATTGCTTCTTATATTTAATTGGGATAGTTTTTGTTATATTGGAGAGAGAAATAATTATTATTATCAATGATATGCTTAAAACTTTTGCATCTTGATGAACAATTTATTTGCTCGAAACTTGTTTGAATAAAAATATCTACAATTCTCTGTTTAGTCTTTTCTACATTAATTGTTAGATCCCATTTTTTTTTTTGGTATAAGTATACAATGTATTTAACATAGACTGTAGTTCTTCTACACTTTCCGCAAAAATTACCATGTCATCAGCATACATAAGAACAAAAAGATTTAATTCTAATATTTGTAATGGAATATTACCCTTTGTTAAAATGTGTACTATATATGCCGTATTAATTCACAAATTGTTTATAATCTTTCTTAAAATAGTGACCGGTGAAAATTCACATGCCGGTACTTCGTTTACTACCGGTGATATATCAACGATCTAAAGTTGGCTTTTCCTACGCGATCTGGAGTAAGTTTTAACAGTACTCGAGTAATAACTAAACTGGAAATCACTGAACTATTCAATTGCTTTCTAGTACTTTTTCCTTTGCTCAAGAAGCTATTAAACTCGATCTTTATTTTCTTTTATCAAACAGTCATAGTCAGTGGTCGATTTCCTCAATTACTCAAGTTCATTTGATCTCTATATGAGTGAAACATTCTTGAACGGGACGTTTAACAACATACAAACAATCAATCAATGATGCGACAATTTTTTTTCTCGAATTTCCTTGATAGTTCTGGTCTTTTTCTAGCACACTAGAGACGTTCACTTCTCTCATTTGTTCTGATACAATTGGGCTTCTGTGTTTTTAAATGTCATCTGTTCTCGAAACTTTTCAATTTGGATTTTTAAGGTTTTGGTGTAAAAAAGGGATGGACCTAAAGAGTCCGAAAAAAAGTCGTAAATTGAAGTTTTATAAAATGTTTATTTCTATCCATAATATAAATCACAGATATCTTTAATAACTGTGTATTCTTGCTACAGATATGAATTTAAGACACATAAAATCAAAGGCATGGGACCCGAAGATTTCTTGAAAATCAATAGATAATCATGTCACGTATTTACATTAAAAACACAGGGATCGTACCTGGTCAATTCCAGGGTTTGGGGTGTTCAACATTAACTGATTAAAAACTGACAGGTATGATTTAAGTGGACTGCCGAAATATACAAATATGTCCTAACCTTATTTAGGTAAACAATAATCAAATGGTAAATCAATATAACAATCGGAGGCAAGCAACAATAAATTAACTGGTAGTCCTAACCCAAAACTAAAATAAGAGCCCAGTCGCCCTCAGACTATCGCATATACTGTAGGATGCCTTATTCAGGACGGACAGTACATGTGATAGCCCTTCAACCACTACACTCACTGTATGATGCCTTATTCAGGACGGACAATGAGTATAGGAGCCTGGACAGACTGGTCAGCCAATGCAGACGATCTAAACAAACTATGGCTAGCCTCCATACTGGAGGTCAACCTTGTTTGTGGCAAGTCTTAACTGGTTTGGCCTTCCAAATTCTCTCTCTAACTGTAAAACAGGCGAGGAATATTAAACGTGAATACTTTATTCACTACACTCGTCTTCTATCCTTGGCTGCATCCGACGACTGCGGAGTCTCGGTATTTATACACAGCTGATGTCACGAGATGTCAACAGTGACTAATTGAGAACTCCGCATGGTCGTACCTTAAAATCCCATAATCATTACTCAGTCAGGATCACGATGTTTTCGTTGTCAGAATACATAGCGCATGTTTGTCGGCTGTTCTTAAGGACCCTATATGCACTAAAGGAAAAGATTTTTTGGACATTGGGAAAATTACAATGAGTAAAGGTGTAAATATTGAGCTTATCTCTTACATTTTCAACATAGGGTACCTTACATTTACCCCAAGGAAAAATGTTCAAAGACAGTGAAGCACTGATGACCAGAAATCGCTGTTGTTTACTTAAGTGGGCAAAATGCTTGCAAATAAAGTGTTCAATCTATTCATCATGGCGTATTAAAATGTTATAACCTGATGAATGCTTTATTTGATCACAAATGTAGTAATAAACTGTACATTTCAATTTATTTTATTCTAGAACAAAGGGTAGATCACTATATCTGCATAAAAATACCAATCAGATCTCTTTAGTACGATGGCCGAGAGCGGCCGCCACTTTTGATTCTGAATATTGTCATTTTGTACAGCTTTTTTGTCAATTTTCGTTGACAAATTACAACTAAACTGGTAATGCTATATGTCCATATACAGTTTTTACACTGACAATTTACACTGGAGAAAATCGTTAAAATTCTTTCTTGTGATATGAAATGAAGATACATAAAACAGGTTACTTGAAGGTGATAAGCTTAAGGTTCTAGCAGAACAACAAGGTCGGGGTGATTACAGATTAGTATTGTCTTCTAGATATGCTTTCTCGACAGATTGTAGTAATTAATTCATAAAATTCCATGTTGGTGTACCTGCTGGTCACATCATAGGTAACCAGGATGAAATTTTCCAGGTCTATCAGAAATTTGATTTTGTTCATAATCGGACGTGTCTTTGATGTATGAATTTTGTTTTTAAACAATGCGCACGAGGAAATGATCACATTAGTTACATGTACCTATATTTTCATTCCCGTGCCACATTGAACAATAATTGGCCGACCAGGTGGAAGTCTTGAGAGGTTGCATTGGCCTTTAAAAGTGTTTCAAGCATTTAGTTATAATTTTATGAATTTAGAGAGCAAATACAGACTCCCACATTTAAGGTTGTCATTTTATTCTTGCTTAAAAACGGGTATATTTCCGTATCTAAAGTTTGGTTTTTGATACATTCCATAAACTTTTGATTGGATGCTCACATGTAGAGCTACTAAATCCTGTTTTTCTACTTCTACATAATAGGTAGAATCGAGTTGTCTCATACACTTTGAGGATCGAGGTATATCCATTATATTCATGTATATCCATTACAACAAACGTATTACTTTTATTCGCCTTTTTAATTACAATCCCAAGAATATCTTTTTAGTGATACAACAAGGTGACAGAATGACGATTTATGTCTAATCTAGGATTAACTGGGTTACGATATCTCAGAATAATTAAGGGTGAAAATCATTAAAATGCTCCTTATCTCTTTCAAGCCACCTGTTTTATGTATCTTAATTTCATATCACACGAAAGAATTTTAATGTTTTTCGCTGGTGTAAATTGTCAGTGTAAAAAGTGTACATGTACATATAGTATTATCAGTTTAGTTGTAATATGTCAACGAAAATTGACAAAAACGCTGTACAAAATGACAATATTCTTAATCAGAAAGTGGCGGCCGCTGTCGGCCATCGTACTTTAGTGAGCAGTGTAAAAAGAGGGCTCCTAAACGCGACCTCGATCTTAATCACGTCTTAGAACGTGTTTTGTTGGTCTAGCTGCTATTTGCAGAATTTAGCAAATTATATGTTGTTATATTTTTGCGTGTCCTAACAATATTTACCAGAGAAATCTTTTAATTTCATATGGACATGCTTTTCAAAATATCATTCGACCTTGATCTTTTATCTACTTTGCAAAAATACTCTGAAAGGTTAATTTTGTTAACGTGTATTCAATTTATATAGACAGGGATTTGATATTTTGCATTTATATCATAGGATAATGAAATTATGACAATCTACTTTGCAACTGTATATCATACAAAACTGCATTGAAAAAAATAAACACCCATGAGTTAATCTGATAAGAATAATCGACAAGTGTTGACCTGTCCAGCTTCATTCCTGCTGTTTTGCTGGACATGCATGAATGATGAATGCATTCGAGAATGGCCAATTGTTATGTAACCTGTAATGTATAATAATGTATAACGTGATTATAGTGACATCAGCTCCAGCGCTCTGGTTTGTTTGTGTGTTTATATAATTAGTAAGTTTATATCAATCCTCATGCTCTCCAATTGATAGTTAAGATAGTAAGAAGTTTTCAAGATAGAGTTATCAGAAAAATTCTATTGAACGACTTGACCAAAAGAATTGACTAAAACTAGTGCTGTCTGACGCTAAGACGTCAGACAATGACCTAAAAACCACTCCGGGTAAATTCTGTCAAATTTCGGCTGGCGACACTAATATATCGTTGCTTCAATTTTGATTCATGGCACCAAAACAATGCTTTTGCACAAATGTGTAGATCTTGCTATTGCTTGTAAGCTATTATGGATTCACTTCACTTACAGCTTGGTAGAGGATTCGCAAAAAGACCCAAAATATGTCTTAGTCCACTCATTCTTTCAAATACACTGCCAGAACTGGCATTTGATTTGTTAAAAGATTATTTTTCTTAATAATTTGTTCAAATTTTGATGATTGTTTCTGGTCTGCTTCCTTTTAGATTTTCTATTCAGTGTATTTGTTTCGTCCCTCTGAGTTAATTTCGATGGAGTATTGATCGGTATTGAAGACACGACATGGATTGTTCTAAACGTCCGCACAAAATGTCCTCTTTCATGTCTTTTTTCACACTTAAAAGACATCCTTGCGTAGCAGATTTTCCATCAGTATCTTTTTCATGTTCTAAATTCTGAATTTACTGGTTGGGAGTACATGTATACATAATTTAGGTCATGACAACTTGTCATGTTGTAAATTTTGTATTTACTCCCACCCGGTAAATTCAAAATTTAGAACCTGACATCTTAATCACGTGATTTCAAAAATAGAAATAGAAATACAGTTACAGAGTTAATCAACTAAGGCAGACAATGGGAATGGTAATTATAGATGTAAACTCTATTGTACTTCATTAGATCAATTAGTTTAGTTTTATCCAGATACCATTTCACCTACCGGCGAAACAAACTATGATGTCATCGATCCAAATTCCAATATTAGTTCTTCAAGATATACGCCTCTTTTACCGGATGCACCAATTCCGAAACTACCAGTAAAGAACCCATCCACAGGAAAGAAATTCAACAAAGATGCTATCGTGGATCTCCCGCTACAACATGTCTCTTCCAATAGACGAATGGAAGATTTGGATGATGAGGAGTATGGATATACCACAGGTTACTCCGTTCATAGGTTCAAGAAAAAGGACACCAACTGGGAGGACGCATTTTTAGATGCGCAGGAATTTACACCTTATCAGAAAGACACTAACAGTCCGATGATAAGCAAGTTTTTCTTTTCTCCACAAGGTAACCGTAAATGCTTTATTTCGTCTCTGTTGGTATGATGGCATATTTCTACCACTACTTGTCAGATAAGTATGTTGACTTGTCAGATCTTTTTGCTGACTTGTCACTTACTTATTACATGTTGGTTATAACACAACCAGTGTAGATACTTCTGTAAGTTTGTACTATCCAGTTGACTACACATTCCTAACAAGTCTTCAAAAGAATCTAAGAAGATCTGACAAGTCGACATAAAGATCTGACAAGTCGACATCACTTTATTCTAGCAAGTTATCTTAATTATCTAACAAGTCATCATAACATCTGACAAGTTAGTATCCAGGGGCGTAGCTTGACTTAAAATTCTAGTAAGGCAAAACCATAGGGGCAGGGGGTATGGGGCCGCCTAAGGCCCCAAGTAGGTCAGGGCAGCGCCATGGTGGTGATGGTGGGGGGGGGGTAGAGGGGGCACCACACACCCCTCCGGACAGAATATGGATTTGGGTGTTTTATCAGACTTCTCCTGCACAGAAGCATAGTTAATTTTACCGGTTTCATAGCGTGGATATGATACCACATATTATTAAAGTATTTCAAAGAGCATCGTCAGAAACCAACGAGGTAAGAGAAGCTAGACCGACCGCAGGTAAAGGAGTTAATAAATACGCTTACTTAAACTTGTAACACATGTTAAGATGAATACACGTTTTTTTTAAATTTTGTTTTTATTTCGTCAAAACTATAATTGTCAAACATTTATCAGTTTTAAAGTTTTTTCAATCATTGCCTACTTGGAGTTTTCAGTAATGGAGGTAGAGCCCGAACCTTGATGATATGAACGTACATTATAGAATTGCTTAAATTATAATTTTTACAAGATATTTTGTGAAAAGTATTATTAACTATGGGAGGGATTGTTGGTGGTTAAAAATCTAGAGAGGCAGTTGCCTCATTGCCACAATGGAAGCTACGCCCCTTGTATCATTGTCTATTGAGTGAACTTCAATATTTAAATAACTTTTATTTTTTCAGATAATTATTATAATGACTTGTCAGATGACTTTGTTTACTTGTTGGACATATATATTGACTTATCAGATATTATTATGGCAAGTAAATGTCAGTTAATGGCACAAACAGGCTTTAATAACGAATATTTATATTTCCAAATATTCTTCCTTAAGATTCGTTACAAATTTGAAAAAGTTCACGTTCTCATGAACTACCGTGGTTCCATTGTAACGTAATTGAAGTAAAAAAAATAGTGCAAACATTTTTTTTTTAAATGATCGTTGAATACCAAAAATATATGGCAAGTCATCAGAAAAATAATGTAAATATAAGATATGAATTTAATTTTTGAGAATTCATGAGTTACATGCGCTTCATGAAATATGCCCGCATGAAGCGTCGTAGTTCATGTCCTCATGAATTCTAAAAAATTAAATTCATTTCTTAAGAAACTGAGTCTCTAATGATGATTATTATCTTACAAGTCGACATAAACTGACAAGTTAAAATAAATATCTGATAAATGTAGCAGAAATATGCTACCGTACTGTTAGAAACCCTCTTTAAGAATAATTAATTAACTGGCAGCTTGTTGTTTACTTTATTGTACATAGATTTTTATAATACAGGAGACTACAGAAATCTGTCCATTGATGAACTATGCCGAGAAATGGACAATGCAACAACTGAAGTTGAACAAGACATGATTAAATACATTACAGCGGATCTTCTACCAACTTTGAAACAAAGTAACAAAATTATTGAAGTCCTTAATCTTCTTTCTTGCAAAAATAGACTAGTTAGACATCTTTGCATCAATGAACTGACAAATATGATCATGGGTGCCGATCAGAAAAATTTCTCCACCGAGGAAATGAAAATAATGTACCAAAAGGGCACTGTTCAGCTATTCACTGTTATCGGAGAAACAAAGAAAACATTCTCCATTTTCCAGTCTCTAATCCAACTTGGAATTATGTTTAACTGTTTTATTTACTTACGAGCCATTGAAGCAGTAGACCAATGGATTGCATGCATTCAAAACACTATGACTACGATTCAGTCAAAAAGCAAGCGTGTATTCGAGAGGAGTGACCCTGATATTCAGGTTTTTGCCAAGACAGCAAAGTGCATTTTTGATCTAGAAGAGGTAGATTTGGATGAAAGTCTGTTGATGGGGGAGGATGTGAACGATTTGCTCCCTGATTTTAACAGAGAAGACAGCGAAATTTGTATCGAGGGGCTGGCTGTTGTTTTTCATACAGGAAATCTGGTATTTCTACTCTAAAGTTGATTAAATTCTTCTTTATTTCTGAATACTAAATGTAATGAACCAGCATGTTGAAAGTTAAAGAATACTATGCATATGCATGTATTTTATCCATTATTTGAAGATGTAGTATTTAGCTACATGTATTTTTTTTTTTAAATTCATTGTTCTATGTGTCAAGGTGTTGCGACAGCAGTCGAAATTTCACACAGGGGTGCAGAAGATGGTAGGTCTAGCTTCGTTAATGGATGTCTCTAACGACGAGGAGGGGATGGTGAAATGGCATCATCGATTTCTTGGCCTATTTATTGTTCGTATATTACAAGGAGAGCACCCTGATGGTAATGTTTCTGGCTAATATGTCTGTGATTAGTTTACCGGTATTTAGATAAATAAAAATTCCTTAATGATGTATATTTTGACTGTAATGCATTTAAAAAGTATGGTCCAGGTTCATTTAGAAATTCATCCTCAAGAAAATTTCTTATTTAGACGTTTATGTTGAGATACTGTATTACACGCTCTACACAAACATGGTGGTAAAGATTTCTCTAGAAATAAGTATTTTTCATCGAAAGACACGAATTTTCACACAATGCCTCAATTAATACTTAGCGTGGGACGACTGTTTATTTTTTTTCGCGGAAAGCTGTTTTTAATCCTGTTCATACCCGAATGTTGTCTCTTCATTGTGTTGCCTTGATGCTTTTGCATTTATTAGTCCTTTACCGGTGAAACCGGAGGGGACTAGGTTTCCTCTGAGTCTGTCCTTCCGTCTGTCTGTCAGTCCGTCCGTCTGTCTGTCCCTCTGTCTGTCTGTCAGTCTGTCCCACTTGGTTTTCCGCACTTATTTTTCTAAACGCTTGCAGATATTGAGCTGATTTTTGGTATGTGAATGTATCTTGATGAGTTTGCAGATTGAGTTTACAGATCAAGTTTGCATTTCGTTCCGCGTCAATGATTTTGACGGAATTACGACCTTTTCAATTTTTCAGAGTTTTCCGCAATTTTCTTCTAAACGTTTGTTTTTGGTATGTGACTTTACCTTGATTAGTTATAGATCAAGTTTGCATTTCGTTCCGCTTCATTGATTTTTGACGGAATTATGGCATTTTCAATTTTTAACGGGAACCAGATTACACTTGCCGATAGTGGACTAGTATTGCTTAGAATGCTTGTTACAAATGTTTTGCTTTTTGTGAAACCAATGTTTTGAATGTAGTTCTCTCTGAAAATATAGGGTATTATTAATTTGTCAAGAATTCTTAACTTAATTCCTTAAATAAGCTTTTACTATGTATATTTGAAGGCTTTTTCATGGACAATTAACTAGTTAACAATTTTCATTTGGGTGACCCATTAAAATGTTAGTTTTGGATATATTATAGTTTTGTTTTCCTGGTAAGTGTAATTTCTTGGCTGCTGATATGGAAATTGAACTTTTAAATAAGAGAGGATTGAAGATGACTTTTCTGAACTGAAAAAAAGCTTGACAATTTAATGATAATACTAGAAAATACATGTATGCCATTTTCTTTTTAATTGTAGTGAAATTGGAAATGCTCGAAAAATGTGAAAATCAATTGTTGTCGATATTAAATCGAGAACATTTTCACTCAAGTGGATTCAGTGTGTCAAATTGTTTACTTTTTCATCACAATGAAAGAATACGGTCCAGATTCAGAGAAATAGCGAAGAGAAAAGGGACTGTAAGTTCAAAAGAAGCCATCAAAGATCACGTGCAAATGTTGCTAAAAAATTATGGATTTGTGTTCGACCTCTCCACTACAGAGTCACCATTGAACAACAGTTTTGAACGTAAACAATGTTTATTTTGTAATGTGGATGCATCCATCACATGTTTTTTGGAAGCTTTCGCAGATGAAGTCAGGGATGTGGAAATGTATGATAATACTTCGGCCAAATTCAGCACAAGCCTAGATTTAGCTAGACAAAAAAATCTAGAAAATGAACTGGAAGTATTAAAAGAAATAGAGTCCAACGATATTCACAGAAACGTAGCCAGGCTTCTTGTGTTCAACCAAATCTTACCGAAGTTTTATATCAAAGAGAGACTTCCTGGAGACAACCTTCAAAGACGTCTTCTGGAGGCAAGGGACAAAGGAAAGATAATTCCCATTGAGAATCTCATTAAGATGATAGTGCAAGCAGTTGAGGCAGTCTTGTATGTACACAGCTGTGGTTGCCTCATCAGGGATATCACTACCGCATCATATTGCTGCTCTACAACAGATGATGGCTATTTTCTTAAGTTAAAAAACTTTGAGATGGCAGCAAAACCATCAGACTTTCCAAGCGGTGGAATAATCAGTGGTCTTATAGGTAAGTCATGATAATGGGAATGTATCCCTCTTATTTCCTTTTTGATGAATGGACTGGCCTTTAAGTTGGATATTAGAATGTCACATTGTCCTTTTTTTGCCAGATCTGGATTTTGAAGGCGTTCCTGTCCGGTGGGCGGCCCCCGAGAGTCTTCTGGAAGGACATTACAGTATCTACAGTGACGTGTGGTCTGTCAACATTTTAGCAGATGAAATTCTTAATTATGCAGCATGGCCATACTCGGACGTCAGCGACTCCGACATTGACGATATGATTACAAATGTAAGCAGATTTTTTTAATCTTTGAAATGCCAAGTTCATTCACTTAGAAACTAGTTTCAAAGAACTTATAGAATATTTGAAATCACAAACTTTTTCCAAATCCAATACCATCAAAACGTATTTAACACGTAATACAACCATTTCCCAAGATAAATTAAAGACCAGGCTTTTTGACATGCTAGACAACGTTTTTTTTAAATGAGAATGGAACTCGCAAATTTTCCTACCTTGTCATCGGTCATCTACAGACTTACTTAGTTAAAAACCTTTCTGGGTCTACACAGAAAGTTCTCTGAAGTTGATATTAAAAAGATGCGTGAGTTTCTCATTAATATCTACATGTAGTCTTTGGACCAAGTTTTCCAACAGTCTATTGGAATTCCCATGGGTAATATAATGTTCCATTGTCAGCAGAGCGGTTTTTGTGTTCTTATGAAGCAGAATTTATTCAAAAACGTCTACAATTAAAAAAGAAGAAGTCTCTTGTTGTGGCCTTCAAATCGACATTTTGATATATCGTTATGACATTTTATTAATTTACAATGACTATTTTCACTCCTACTTTGATTCGATATATCCCATTGAACTCGAGACAAAAGACACCACAGAGTCTGACACAACTGCTTCACATTTAGATATTTTCCTAGAAAAAGACATGAAATTTACAACTAAACTTTATGATAAACGTGATGACTTCAACTATTCTATTGTCAACTTCTCTATATTTATGTTGCTTTATACCACATTCACCTGAATATAGGGTTTATTTCTCACAGTTGATTCCATAGGCAAAAGCTTTTTCTTCGTGCGAACAATTTTAAAAAAGAAACAGGCTACTGATAAACAAGTTGAGGAACCAAGGCTATTTTTAATCTCGTTTCAAAGTCAACATTTAGCAAATTCTATGGTCAATTCTATGATTATGACTTGACGTCCTTCCTACAAAGCCTATTATTCTCATTCTGAATTGGCTACGAATTTAATTTTTCCGTTTACCCAATCATGACAAAGAGCACAGGGCGGGTGTGACTGCTTGACAGGGTATCCTTACTCCTCCATGGCACCTGATCCCATCTCGGATGTTTTAAGAAGTCCATGTTTGCTTTGCTTCCAATCTGTATTGTTTCTATGGACTCTTAAGCTTGATTACTGTTCCTCTTAAATCATCATTGTAACTATTTCCAGATTGTTTTTACTCATCTTAAACCCCAAGGATTTAACCGGCCTAGAAGGGTCCAAGGTTTGATTTTAGAAGGGCTAGCCACCATCCCAGAACAGAGACTAAAACTGGAGGCATTGCGAGAAAGATTATTGGACATCTCTGGCAATATCAGCGGAGAAGGAAGCTATACTTTATATGGTATATGTGTACCATTGTTTTAAGATTTCAAGATCGAAATATAAATTTTCAGAATTTCAATTATGTGAAAAATATGTACAATTGTATACGTGTTTAAAGCTTCGGAAAAGTTTTTTATTTCTCGCATTTTCTTGTGATGCACAGACACATATTCTGGAGTGGAGGGAACACATGCAAAGGTTTATGAAATACCACCCTTGACAGAAAATCAGATCAAGGCCAATTCTGTGTTTGAAAGAGTAAGCTCCTCTTTTATTTACAATTTATTGAGTGATATTTGGGCACATGTTGATTGCACTGAATAATTCTTTTTCTTACTTTACAGGGAATTCCGAAGTCAATTCGCCGATTCAGAGAGCTTGATGAAGGTACCATCCTACCTTTTATAGAATCAAATAAGACTGTCTTGATAAAACTCAACGTTACAAATACTGTCCTTTCATTTGAAAAAAACATCTTGTTCATATTCGAGATCTTGCTCAACGTTCGTAAAATATGCGTCGGTCTTCAGTTGTTATAGTCAGTGAATGGTTCTACACCAGTGTTCATCCTGTAGCAATTCAGATTTGTCCTTTAATCTATTCCACCAACCTAATTTATCTCCAGGGATTCTCTCAGTGATTTAGAAACAAACCGTTTATAGAAAATAAACTCCATTTGATAGAGCGGCAATACAACATCCAAGCTAATTATTTCATTTAGTAACGTTAAAATTTGGGAACACGGAATTAAATGATATTATGTGTCAGTCGGAAAGGAAAAGGAGGGATTTTAATATTCTTAATGCCGGATATTGGGGAATCATCATTGTTCATGGTGGACCAATGTTCGTAAATTTCGTTGGTAAACTTTTCCACGAATTTAACTCCTTGGGAACAATAACATTGGTGTATTGAATCTTCCATCCCTACCAGTTACCCACGAAATTACGTCCCCGTGAACTAGTAAAATCTTGGTTGCCCACGAAAATTAATCCCCACGATTTATACAACCATTCCCACGATAAAGTAAAGTCCAGGCTTTTTGACATCATTGCAAGCTGCTTTTCCAATAAAATTGGAACTCGTAAATTTACTTACCTTGTCGTTGGTCATTTGCAACATTATTTTGTTAAAAATACATTCTGATTGTACACACAAGTACTCTGAAGTTGATATTAAAAGATACTTGAGTTTCTGATCGACAATATCTATGTAGTTTTTGGAGACCAGGTCTTCCAACAATCTGTCGGAATTCCCATCGGTACCAATTGCGCCCCGTTATCAGCAGACCTATTTTTGTATACATGTGCATTCATTTATTTAAAACCTTATACGTGAGAAGAAAACAACACTTGCTATGGCCTTTAACTCGACATTTAGATATATCGACGACGTATTATCAATTAACAATAGTTACTTCCATCATATTTCGACTCGGTATATCCCAGTGATCTTGAAATAAAGGATACCACAGAGTCTGACACATCTGTTTCATATTTGGATATTTTATTAGAAAAAGACGTTAATGGTAACCTAACAACCAAGCTTTGTGATAAACGTGATTTCAACTTTTCAATCGTCAACTTCCCTTACTTGTGTAGCAATATACCCTTATCACCTGCATATGGCGATTATGTCTCTCAGTTGACTCGATACGCAAGAGCATGCTCTACGAACGATCAATTTTTTAAACGAGGCAAGCTATTGACAAATAAGTTAATGAAACAAGAATATCAACAGTCTCGTTTAAAGTTATTATTTGGCAAATTCTATGGTCTATATAATGACCTTGTCAGCAAATACAATCTATCATTAAATCAAATGCTGACTTGATCATCAATAATGTGGACCCAGCCAAGGTCTCTGATAGGAAGGAGAGAATATGAATTTTTTAGAGGGAAAGGCATATAATTTGCAGAAGTTTATATGGAGGTTTGAATACTAATGAGAAATTTCAGTTTTATTGCTCTTTTGGAACTATTTTAAAGAACCTATAAATATCTTTTATATACCTTTGTTGTAATTCTATACTGACTTCGGAAGCAGTGACAAGAATAAACTTCAATATACACTTATTGAGAAGACTTAAAGATTTATTGCTCCTACAGAATATTGAAAGAGTATCTTTCCTTTTTTGTACATTATACGTTCTATCCCCCCCCCCCCCTCACACACAGACACAGGTGAGCCAACCGTATCCTCAAGGACTATGAATTTAACAATTTAAATTTACATAACCTTATGATGTTTCTAATTCACTAGTAGTTAACATCGTGATAACTAGAACCTAACAAAAATATTGACAGAGAACCTTGTATTTTTGATAGATTTAAAATATATTAATTTTTTAGTTTACACAATCTGATGATGTTTACAGTTAAGCATTACTTACTTAGCCTTACAGTTGTGTTAAAAAGATCCTGTAAGATTTTTTTTAAAGATATATGTCAAAATGTGAAAGTGGAATGTTTTAGAATATTATTGAATAAAAATGCGATTTAAAACCATTTTTAAATACATATTAATCTTTACATGCAAAATGTTTCTTCAGATCCTGTTACCGTGTTTGCATTGGAAGTAGCAGAAAACAATAACAAATTGAAAGAGCAAAGAGGAGTCAAACTTATGGAAATATCCTCTGACGAATATTACAAGATCGAGACTGAGGTTATTGATTCCCTATTTCCAAGAGTACAAATTTCCAGTCATACTAATCTCCAGTACCAGGATGTTTTGAGCAAAAAATATTAATTTCTCTGATGCTTTTTTATCTCTCTATATAAATACATGTACTACAATTCAAGTTGGTTTTAAAGATTTTTTTCTATTTGATGTAGGACAGAACAAGCATGATGAAAGTGATGGAAAAAGTAAGTGAAGATTTCTTGAAATTTACATATAACAGACTGAGGGAAATAGACAGCAGTAAAATGTGTGTAGAACCTTGGCCCCCAGCCAAAAGTGTCTCAGCAGACGGCTCCAAACAATTGGTAAGTCCTACACATCAGATTCATCACAAGATTTTTTTTATTGTAAATTAAATTGCATTTTCTTTCATGAATTCTATGTATTACTTATGTATATTTTCTAGCACTACAAATTTCCTAGATCCACACACCTTCTTGATATCGTCCTTCACAAAGAACGGGGTCCAATGATTGGTCCATACATTGAACTTCTATATGAATTGGCCAATCACATCGACTCTTTTCATACAGCAGGATGGATTTTCCGGTGTCTTCGAGCTAAAAACGTCTGGATTTTGGAAACAAAAGTGAAGTATTTTTTTTCAATTTCTTCATGTTTTCCAACTTGATGATAGAAATATTTTTTTTAATCAGAAAAAAGGGTTCTCGGTTTCTTTAATTACATTTTGGTAACAAGTCAAATAAAACTGTCCTAGAAACCTGTTTTTGTATTGTAGAAACGAGAACAAACTATAGTGGTGCCAAAATTTGGTAAATATCGGGTGATAGCGTCGTCTGAATTTGACGCACATCTGGAGCAGATCAAAGTTGAGAAACCAGAAGACACAGATGGAATACAATGGTTAGTCAGCCTGGGCAATTCATTTTACTCTTAAGGAGGCTGAATATTATAATATTTAGAGGCATTTGTACATACCGAGAAAACTAAAAAGAAATATACCTCAAATGAACATAAAGGGGGACAAGGTGCGACGTAAGGTGCAATATTGCATAATAGTTGTACAAATTATCCACTTTGAATTAATTTAGTAATTTATTACTCTGCAGGCTCCCAATTGAGGCAATTAAGGCTGGCCTTTATTCCAAAGAAAGTGATGTGTATGCATTTGGTATGATCACTTGGGAAGTCATGTCTGCTTTTGGACAAGAGGGAGTTGTTTATGATCAGGATGAAGAACGTGAATTGACGTGTGTGCCATTCAACTACCAACAATCGGACAAAGTAAGATGATTTTCATCCTACACATAAGAAACATCATTTTGAATTAATCTTTATACCTGAGCATTAAGTTTCAATAAATAAATAAATTGAATTAAAAATTCATTGCATTAAAATTTTTAAGTAAATTGGCTTCTGTAGTCTACAAAATGTCATAGAGAAAATAAGTGACAGCTTTTTTTTTTTTTGGTTTTCTTTCGAATCAGATTCTTCAGCATTTGATTGAGGGTTATATCCCAGAGAAACACGTCAAGTGTCCTGATTGGTTTTACCAGGAAGTAACCAGGCCTTGTCTCCTGCATCAAAAAATTGACAGGCCATCTATGAAAACGATTCTTCAAATTCTTGAAACACGGTATTAGATTTGGTTTTTGAATATTTGTTCTCTTATTGTAAAAAATATGATTTTTAAAAATATATAAAATAAAATTCTCGTCTTTACAGACTTGGAAAAACTCTTCCTAAACAAGTTCTTAGTCTCCCACCTCCACCAACACAGCCAGAAGTAAAATTAATACAACAAGTTAATGTAGAGCAATATGAAGATATTTATGAATATGATGATATGGCTATTAGTCCAAATCTTTCTCAGTCTTACTTAAAAGAATCGACAAAGACTGAAGGTGATGACAAATGTTCTTCCAACGAAGTTCCTCCTCTACCTCAACCCAGAAGACCTCCTCCTCCACCTCCAACTTCGTATTACAATACAGACGAGAGTAAAAACAACATGCCAGGTAAACACAAACTACCGCCCCCACCACCTCCTCCCAAACCGATAGTCAAAGCAAAGGCTGTTAAAGACACTGAAGAAAGTTCAAGCCAAATACCTCCTCCAGTACCAAGGATGGGTAATAAAACAGACGCAGAGGATAATGTGAATTTCTGTCGTCCAGGCGTAACAGTAGAGAATGGTGATAGTGTTCCACCGGTTCCTACAAGGCCATTTCCATCTTCAACTGGAAATCAAAAGGAATCTACAATATCAACAGAAGTGAATTCTTGTAAAGCACTTCCTCTTCCAAATGTACCAGAAAGCAACGAAGACGAACGTAGTGACAATGAAACTCCAAATCAGCCCTCTGCTGTGAATCTTTCGCCAAAATCACAAGATGGTCAGAAAGGTTCATATCAGAATTTAAAAGAACAAACCTCTAATGCTACTTGCAGTGCAAATTTGCTTCCACCTCTCTTAAAGCCTAGAGAAGCGAAGGATGTAGTTGAAAACAAGAAGCAGGAAATGAATAAAGAAGAGGAAAAGAGAACTGGTAACCCAAGACTCCCATTCCCATCACTACCTCCCAAGCCATACAAAAGTAATAGTCAAAAGAATGACCTTCAAGTGATCCCCCCATCCTCTGTTCCAACGAAATTGGAAAATCAGCCACCAAAATTCAAAAGCGAAGATGACACAAAAAAATCGTCTGGAGAATCTATTCACAAAAGCTCAGACTTTTGCGAATCTGCATCAAATTTGCCCCACAGCAAACCGGGAGAAACCATCAAAGGATCAGATTTTTATGAAAGCAAAACCTCTCCTAGAAGTTTTGGAGATACAGAAAAAGGATCAAATAGCTATCAGACTGTTAGATCTGCAGCACATATCGGCAAAAGCTTAGGCGATACGGAGAAAGGCTCAGACTTTTACGGCCAACTGACTGCCATAAAAGAAAAGCCTAAAGTACTTCCAAAACCAAAGCGTAAAAGTGACATTCAGCCACCTTGTGGTCTCGGTGAGAAGGAGGATGAAGAAAAAACAAAGGTTGATAAGGTTAAAAAAGACTATTGTAATCCTGAAGCGCAGCCAAATCCAGTTTACATCAATGAATCCCAAACTGACTCAAAACCTATTGTACCACCAAGAAAGCCTTTAAACAAATGACTTATAAATGTATCACAAAATAACTTTAAGTATGTATTTACCATTTTGATATATATAGGGGGCACTCACTGCAAATCTGAATCCATCGGTTACGACTAGAAGAATCCATCCCAAAACAGAAACACATTGGGATTTAACTTTGTTAATACTGGGTAAATCTATCATCAAGTATCAAAACAGGAACATCTTGGGATTTAACTGTGTTAATACTGGGTAATTTTATCATCAAGTATCAAAATCAGAGCTGTTTCTCGTGATCAGATCGGCTTAGTGTGTCGTGCTCGAAAACTACTACAATATGACTATGTTCTTTTGGCACCACCCGTGGATTACCATTCTCTATCCAGAGTATGTGGGAGCGTAGCGGGAACGACAATTCTGGATAGAGAATGGTGGATTACTTGTAACTTAATTTAAAATTTTTGTGATAGTTTCATAGGCATTTTGCAAAGAATCGACTTAACGTTTGTGAACAGAAGAATCGAGTGTTATGTTATGCAACGCCAACATATTTTTGTGCATTAACTAGTATTTGATTCTTGCATATCATGTATATTATTCTTACTTATAAAGCATTAAAATTTAATATGTATATGCATATAAGTAGATGAAGAAAATAACACTGAAAAGACAAATGAACTTAATGAACTTTTTATTTGAGTTATTAAAAATTCCGCAAAAACTTACAATTTTATAAAAAAAAACAGAAGTATAAATGGAATAACCAACGTCACATAAAGGTTTTCAAATGTCATCTGCAAAAAGTTCACTCCTTTTGAAGTACCTCTACATGTAATCTATGATTTATTTAATCTATATTAGGTTTGTGAATCGTAACTACCAATGTCCAACGCTCGACTTGAAGTGAATGTTTACTAGTATACAGTCCACATACCATATATCGTGATTTGCTATATATTCTAATATTGCTGCAGTATCTCCTGTTAAAGACGTCTTAAATTGACAAGAAAAAAATTATTCAGATTCTTTGAGGGAAAACTTTTTCATTTTATTTAATCTCTAGTCTCATCCAGTAAAGAGCAATCGACCTTGCCCGTTTTGATTACAGCGAACTTTTCAAGCTCGAGTCTTTGTCATTGATATTCTTTCTGTGTCAATTATCTTTTGAAAGCTTCCTTCGAAACTTTCTCTTCCAAAACATTTAACATATATTTTCTATGATGCTTTATAGGCACTGTTTATTGTATACTAGCATGCCGTGGAAACACTTTCCAGACGCTTTTGTAATTTAACATTTGGCTTTAGATAACTCTTGACATACTAAGTCAGTTGATTATATCTACAAATTCATTATTAGACTTTGAATTCTTTGTTATGTCTTCTTATTTACTTAGTTTTTTTTTTTTCAGTTTCTTGCTTTTTTCATATTTAATATTTTCGCCACGCTGTACATCATGCAGTGGACTTGTAAATAACTTTTCCAACTCATGTTCTTTCAGTTGTCTTTCTTGAAACGGAAAAAGAAAAATATATTTTTGCTTCCATCCACAATGTGAATCGTATTTAAAATGTAAAAGGTAAAGTAACGAACTATGACCAAACTCATAAATCATAAATTAAAAAAAATTCGAATCGTGAACAGGACAAAGACACGGACCCCTGGAAACACTAGATGTGGGATCAAGTGTGTAGAAGGAGTAAGTATCCCCTGTTGACCGGTCACGTCTGTTGTGAACCCTCTGTATTGATCAGGTAAACGGAGTATTCCATAGTGAAATTTATGTTGTACAAAATTAACTGAAAATTGGTATGAAACATGTCAGTCAAAATAAGACCCAATGATAGATTATACTGCAAACAAGATCATATATCGATAAAAGAATTTGCCAAATGCTGACTCTGTAATTGTTGAAAGCCTTGGAACATCAATCCATTTGTCAATAGCTTGCCTTGGTTTAAAAATATATCGTATATGGAACATGATCTTGTGTGCTGAAAAAGTTGAGAGACGAAAAACACCATGTGCAGGTGACATTGGAAAATTACTGCATATTAAATAGGGTAAATTGACGAAGGAAAAAGCTAAAGTCAGTACGTTTTTTAATAAAGTTTAACCGCTAATTCGTCATTAATGTCTATAGTCAGTAAAACATCCAAATATGAAAAGGCGTGGCAGACTCTGTAGTTTCTTCTATTTCGAGTTCAATGGGATATATCGAATCAATGTAGGAATAAAAATGAATATTGTTAGTTGATACATCTAAATGTGGGACTGAAGGCCACTGCAAGAGTTTTAACGTCGGTTACAAAGGGACACAATTAGGGACACTTTTCAAATCAATTTTATTTCTTTAATTTGAGCTAAGTCACGTTAACCACTACGCTACCATCCCCTGACATGCAATACTTGCATTTAAATCATGTTCATGCGCGGATCTAGAGGGGGTCGGGGGTTGGGTTTAACTCCCCCCCCCCCTTTGGAATTTGTAGAGTTATTAAAAGTATATACTGAAGGAAATAAAAAATGACTTTAAACCCCCCCTAGAAAACGTGGACCCCACCATCACCACCAAGAAATAGGTGTTTTTCACGTTTGGGAAATAATGGATTTCACGTTTTTTTGGGGGGGGATTTTTTTTTGACTGGGATGGAACCCCCCCCCCCCTGGAAAAAATTCCTGGATATATGATCCTTGACTATATATGGACTTCAAGTATTTCATGAAAAGGTACGAATGCTGTGTTATACATGTATGATTTTAAGGCACTTGTATAGTGGGTCTTTGTTAACCCAAAAATGCATGTTTTATGCATTTGAGGATAAATTTTCAAAAAAATGGAGTGAACACCCATTCATATGTATATGTTATAGTATGAGGAAATGATCATTTTTCCCTCTGTGGTGTTTGTATGCTTTTTCATAGACAATATACTATTCAAAAAAAAGAAAGAAAAGAAACGCATAATAGGAATAATACCCTGGATAATATAATTTTGCCATGCAAGTTTTTTTTTTAGATGGATATGATTCATTCGAGTAAAATACATAATTTTTAACGATATTGTTTACTTGACAGCCATTCTACAAAACTCACAGACAAAAATACCTGATTTTGCAAAATGCTAAAATTTGGTCATTCTTACACTTTTCTTTTGTTGGTTTCTGATCCACATCCTTCAGGTACAACACGGCTATCAAAGGCTGGGATTACCGATATTTTGATTCTGTTTTTTTCTCTCTGAAAATTGACTCTATTTGAAAAGGCTGCATCTGAATGTTGCATATCGCAAAAGGGACATTGGGCGACTGGAAGCAGGTATATCACAGTCTAAAATCGCAAGAGGTTTAAATATTGCACAAAACACCATATCTAACCTATAAAACAGATACCAACAGCATGGTATGTAACAAACGATCGCCAAAAATATGACAGACCACGCTTGACATCAGCAGCACAGGATCGCTTCAATGGTTTCCGTTATTATCATCAACGTTTCAAAATGACGTCGTCTACAGCATCAGCTATCCCTGAGCTGCACAGAATATCTAACAAGACTGTTTGCAATTGACTACGGGATGCTGGAATTATCGCCAGAGGACTTATTCATGTCATTATACTGACGCCACATCACCGGAAGTATCGACACCAAAGGTCTCAAACCATCAACGGCAACACCGCTGAACAGTTTGATTTCGCTACTAGTCCAAAATGTTTATTGCAAAACCTAATGTTAGAGTCAGTGTGCATAAGCTTCGTTATTAATAGATTTGGTGGTGGTAGTGTATTGTGGAAAACGGAATTAGATACAAGTAAGACTGATTTATTCAAAGGACTTTGACGAAAAATCGTACTATAACGATGTCCTATCTGTACATGCCTTTCATCATCCTGGAGCCGTATTTCAATCTGACAATACACAGCCACGTATGGCTCGTTTGATAATAGCATTCTTGCAAAGCCACAGCATCCTATTCTGCCTTGGTCACCTAAATAACCAGATTTAAACCTCATTCAGTATGCACCGGTCGAAATGGATAGGCATGATCTGCCAAAGACATTCGCATCCCCAGACTCTGCAACAGCTGACCAAATTTCTACATTTAGAGTGGGATAGTATTTCCATACAGTTTTAATACACTCATTTGCGTCCATTAGGATGCCGTTTTAGGCTATCATTGGTGTCTGTGGGGACCAAACCAGATATTGATCTTTAACGACCTTGAACTGTCTATGATCGTAAAATTCTTTAGTAATTAAGACATTTAGATTGTAGACCTATTGTTCACTACATTTCTTTATTATCAATAAATCATTTTACTAAATTTTATGTTCAATTTGTCAATAAAATTTTACTGTTATTATTATTATTTTTATTTATTTATTTTTTTTTTTTTTTGTTTTGTTTTGAAGATTATAATTTCAATCTTTGAGCTTTTCGCATATTTCACATAAAGTATACGTTAGTGTTAGATGAATATCAAAGAAATTTTGTTATAATTGAAATTTCTTAAGTTGTCAGTTTAATATTTATTAATATTTCTCATCAAGTTCTGTGAATTCTCATCAAGTTCTGTAAAATTATCAAGTACATTTCAAATCAATTTTATTTCTTTCCTTTCAACGATTTTGTTTTAATAGAACATAAAGAGAGACCACCGAGTTTTTATACATTTCTATTGCTTTATTATTGAATTGCTTTAAACGTCTGCTATGTGCCAACAATGATTTAATACAAACGAATGTGCCCAGATTATTTATGTACCTGGGTTAGATTAAAATTAAACCATAATCGCGGATAATGTTTTACGTTCGTCTCATGCAGACCGTATTGAGCGGTGTTTTACACTGAATAGTTGAATTCATGTAGAAATGCCCTGTGCATGGAAACTGTTTTGTTTACGTCATCGCACCACTGACCCCTTGACCTTTTGGATGAAAGAGTTTGAGAATCTTTATTTATCACAGGAAATCTCTAAGATAGGACTATAACACTGTTTGGATATCGTAAAGGACCCTCTTACGATCAGTTGCGTGTGTTAAACGCTTTGACAGCTATTCAATTGGGAATTATTTCCATTTAAAAAATCTTTCAGCACAATCTTCAGTTTGAATCACAAACCTTTATTTAAATCGGAGCTAAATACATTTATTTTGGATGTTATTTAAGTCACGGTTATGCGGAGTTACAGTGGTATCATGAGATCTCTTCATTGCTTACTGTGAACAGTTAATACCAAACTAGCTTTAATACCCCAAAGATCCGTATCCAGCTCAACAAGAAAGAGAGACAATAACGTTAATACATTATTATCGACCAGTAATACTTAAAGCGGATTGCTGTTTGTTTGTGATTTAAGCTGTAAGTTCCCGAGTTTCCGATGTCTCTAACAGGGGGCCTTAAATTGCCCCCGATCGCCGACTCGGGAGGGGATAACAATGTAAGTGTGGATGGTAGAATGATTACAAAAGGCGGGACGCAACAGCAGATGATTTACCGTAGTGTTCCCCCTAAATCTTCAAACTTTACGTTCTCGGATATGCTGGGACCAAGTCCCACCGGACAGAAACAAAGTCGGACGACGGTCGTCTCGTCCAACACCCCAGCGGAATATGAAGAGAGGTTCAAATCCAAGCCGCTGTCAAAACCCAAGGTGGTAGAGTTTGACGTGGGAAGACTGTCAACGGAATCTAAGCGACGAAAAGTCAGTGGATTCTTCCCTCCAGTCAAACTCCGACGCTCCGTCTCCACAAGAGTGACGTCATCGGAGGTTTTGGAGGTACGGTGCTGATCGCATACTCACAATAATTAAATTTAAAGATTTTTGATGCGAGGTATTTAATTAAAGATAGGGATTTTATTCCACTTTTGTTAACTACACAAACAAATAAGACTTCGTTGTTAATGAAATCAGTTATTTTGCTTCAAATTTACTGTATTTGAAATGTTTTACTCCCCTGTTGTATTAAAAATTCACGTTTATATATGTTTTTTTTTCTAGCTTTTGTAATATTCCTTTTTTCGATTAAATATTTTAAATAGGTGATTAATGTTCTAGACCTTGGAAAGAATCCAAATGAAATGTTCAAGAGCATTTAGATCGCAATCCACATAGTTACGTAAATCTCATATTGTTACATTAATTAGATATTCATTAAAACTTCTGGAGAGGTAAACAGCAAAAGTGCGCCCAAGAAAAACGAAATTACCACGTATTAAGATAGATTTTGTTGAATTAAATCTGTTGTAAAGAAAATTTGTTGGATGATTCATTATTGCTTGTATATGCATTTAAAGATTGAAACCAGATGATTTATAGAAAGCAAATCCAATATAAATGTTTTGAAGTCGCAAAACGATTTAAAAGTTCAGTATCACTCCTTACTGAAATCAGAGTCAATACATCAAAGTGTTATCTCAAAATCAACTGACCAACTCAAGAATTTTAATACATATACAAACATATATTTTTCGATGACAAGTCAATGTGTGACTGTCATATGTTCTGCCAGATCGATGTGTCTAGATTGTTTTAAAATTGATCCGTTGATTTTAAAAGAATTTAACTCTTTGTTGCATGCATCAGGTTTGCTTGATCACCCTATACGTAACCGAAAAAAAAGAAAATGCATACCACACTTAGTAATACCATGGAGCGGACAACACTGCAAATTTAAATTTCCTGTCCAGCCCGGATCGAATATTTATTTTCCAAGTCGTTTCATTATCTCAATGAAAATATTGATGTTTAAAGGTTTCCCTTGATTCAAAATCGAAGCTCGGCAAAGCATTATATAAAAGTGAAGATTTCTTCAACCTTTTTCATTTTCAAAAAGGACTTTCTTGAGAGGTTAAAACAACATTCCTTTTAAAAACTAATCTTACTCCCCCTTCGGCTCAGAGCTCTTGATATTGTTTGTAGTCATCATTCAGTATAATGAAAGAGATTCTGCACTGCGACTCGCGCTGCCTTGACAATAATATCATAGGCATAGAGGACGAATATTCTAAGTAAATGAATGCGTAATGAGAAGTATTGAATACAGTCTGAATATATTGAAGAACCACAATTGTTGTTTAATGTACACGTTCCTTCGTATACCCTTTAAAAGTCATTGATTTTTCTCTGAATTAAAGGACGAATACAGACAATATGAAAACTTCACACAAATTTTAAATAATTTCACTTTTTCTCGCTAGAGCAGTATCAATTGAAACGAAAGTAAAAGCGAAGCCGTTTTTAAAAAGAGTTTCCACAATGAGTACAATACGTTTTTCTCTCTGTTGAATCGTCCAAAACATTCAAGAAGCATCTCAACTTATTCAGTAAGTAAGAATTTTAAAAAAAGTATCACGAACTTAACAAATAGACCAGAATACGAGAACTTATTAAAGTAAAGACGGATTCATCGATACAATGACCTCGTCAGAAAATACAATCTACATGTATTAGGTCATATACTGATTGATGTTTTTCATATTAAATGTTAGACCATTATTTACACACTGAATTTTCTACGGATTTTTCCGTTTATCCCGATCATGACAAGGAGCAAACGGCGGGTGTGATCGGTCAACAGGGGATGCTCACCACAGGCACTTGTTTCGTATACGGGGCACCCCTACTTATTTTTACCACAAGATACCTAACTCAATTTCAGGCACCCCCCGCTTCAAGCTCGTATTTTGTTTATATATCAATCATTAACCTACTTTAAAATGAGATCGTTCGCTTCGAAAGACTTTTTTCTTGTCAGATTAATCGTTTCGGGCGTCTCTGGTGGAGCCTCTTTATTGTAAACCACTCATTTCTTCTTCGAAAATTATCTCGATACAAAATAAGACTTCGAATCGGATACATTGACTTCCGGTTGGGTTATAAATGTAGGATAAATCCAGAGACTTACGAGTATTCCTTTCCGAGGTCTCTGGTTTAATCCTTCATTTATAACCCAACCGGAAGTCAATGTATCCATTCGTAGTCTTATTTTGTATCGAGATAATTTTCGAGGAAGAAATGAGTGATTTACAATAAAGAGGCTCGACCAGAGACGCCCGAAACGATTAATTTGACAAGAAAAAATTCTTTCGAAGCGAACGATCTCATTTTAAAGTAGGTTAATGATTGATAAATAAACAAAATACGAGCTTGAAGCGGGGGTGCCTGAAATTGAGTTAGGTACCTTGTGGTAAAAATAAGTAGGGGTGCCCCGTATACGAAACAAGTGCCTGTGATGCTCACTCCTCCATGGCACCTAAGCCCAGCTCTGATGTTTTAGAGGTCTGTGTTTGCTCTGCTCCTGATTTTTATTGTTTGAATGGACCTTTGAGCTTGAATACTGTTCTTTATTTCCATATTTAAATTCATCTCATTTGCAATTGCAGCGATTCAAAGAATGGTGCATGTAGCCATTGACTATCTTCTTAAAAACGTTATACACTTCGCTCTGATTTTGTGAATTATATGCATGTGTCAATTTAATATATAATTCTGAATCAGCAATATAAGTTGATTTTTATAATTATGAAATATGTGGAGATAACGAATATATCTATGTAAATATTTCAACATCAGATTGATTCTGCTTGTGATTTTCAGGCGCCAATGATGGCTACCAGTAGGATGCAATTGATTCCCACAACGTACACGGAAGTGCGAAGTAAATCAGAGCGCGTGGACCGGACCAAAACTCCCATGTCCTTTCGGAAGACCCCGGAGTCTATCAAAACTGCGCAAACAGCACCAGAAGTGAGCATTATATACCCAAATATTTTATCAGACAGTGTTGACTACGATGATTTGAGCTTACTACCGCCCCCAAAACGAATTTTACCTCGACGGGAGCTTCCATGGGTATTTAGATACAAAGTGAAAAGAAATATGAACGAACTGGCTAAAATCATGGCCAGTAGAGCCTCACCGACACCCATCCCGGAACAACTACCGACATAAAAGGAACTCCCATTAAGAACTGCAATTCCTTCTTCGTTGTTGACTGTGATATTTTATAGTATTAATATGTAAAGTTATTTATTCGCTGTTATTTATGAGACCTTTTCAAATCATTGTAAATTTACAAGGCCGTTTCTGTATGGAGAAGAAATGGGATAATTTATTACTTGTAACATTCACATGTTATACATGTCCTGGATGTTATGATGAGGTTTTAGAATGAAAGTGTATGCCTGCATGCACTCACTTATTCAGTTTTACTTTATTAAAAGTTTTAAAATTAATTTCTACGATTTAATTGATTGTTGATGCATTTTTTTCTTTTCAATTTTAACAGAGTAAATTCTGGTTTAATGTGATTTACAACCATATATAATGCATATATGTATATTCCTTAAGCTCAAGCATATTCATCGATACAGCAACCATATACAATGTGCAAATTTCTTAAAGCTGAACACGAGTCGTAAATAGGCATAAGCCATATTAGTTTTCTTATCTCCGATATCAGCACAGGGATATAATCTTTGCATTCGTTACACATGACTGCTTTCTTGTCACGGGTACTGCGCGGAATTGGCGACACGTGTTCGTGTTAGTTATCTTACGTACATTACCTTTGTTTACATTTTACTGCAGTTTACGTTTATATGCGTTTGTTTGTACTGCACTGGCCTGTGCAACTGATGTACGTTTCTTTGGTAACTTTCTCTTCTGCCGTGGAAGAAGCAAACATTTACTCTTATCGCTACCGAGAGTTTTTACAATAATTTATGCAGAATACATCCGTCTACACCGGATAAAACTCTATGCCAGTTTAATCATAACACTCATAATATTATCTAGCTACTCCAATCCAAAGCAAGTCTGGAAGTGTCCATCCCTAGATACATCATCCATGTTAATTTAGTTAAATATGGCTAAAATTCACTCATGTGGAAAATTTAGGTCAGATCCAGCATCCAAAAGAAGTGTGGTAGTGTACTTCCCTAGATGTATCATCAATGCAAGTTTGGTCCAGGTAGGGCTATAGTTACCTGGAAACAGACCTGCTCCAAAAACTTTAACCCAGTCACTCATCTGGAAAATCTAGGTTAGATCCAGCATCCGAAGCAAGTGTGGTAGTGTCCATCCCTAGATGCATCATCCCTGCAAGTTTGGTCCAGGTAGAGCTTATAGTTACTTGGGAATGGACCTGCTCCAAAACATTAACCTGGTCACTCATGTGGAAATTCTAGGTCAGATCCAGCATATGAAGCAAATGTGGTAATTTCCATCGCTAGATGTATCATCCATGCAAGTATGGTTCAGGTAGGGTTTATAGTTAGGTACCTGCTCCAAAACATTTAACCTGAGGCCTGTTCAACAGAGCGAACTTTCGCGAGCGCTCGCGAACATTTCTGTTGGAAAAATAAGGAATTTAGGCGAGCGCTCGCGAACGTTCGCTCTGTTGAACAGGCCTCAGAATTACTTTCGACTTGATTTCATTTTAATTTTGCGGATCGCTCGATAGAAAACGAAAATTTCAGTTATTTCATAGCGGAAAACTAGTTTCGTTTCGTCAGATTTTCTGCATTCCATTCCCGAATTTCACACAGACGACTTGTTTTAATTTCTGCTTTTAAAAATAATGGATTTATCGCTAATACGACAGATTAACATTGTTTTATGTGCAAGTTTTATCACAGATAATGAATATTTTATTGTTTCGTGTTATTCATTAATGATTAAAGCTTGAATTTTTAATTAAACAATTTATTTCCACTTGGGGTTTCAGCGGTGAGAATTTTTACAATGGATGCTAGAGGTTACGCTGCGCCAAGTCAAAAGTATCTCGCCGTGAACCTCTAGCATGCTGGAGTACTAGGGATGGACCCTACCACACTTGCTTCAGATGCTGGATCTAACCTATAGATTTTTTAGATGAGTAACCGGGTTAAAGTTTTTGGAGCAGGTCCGTTCCCACTTCCCACGTAACTATAAGCCCTACCTGGACCAAATTTGCATGGATGATACATCTTGGGATGGACACTACCACACTTGCTTCGGATGCTGGATCTGTCCTAGATTTTCCAGATGAGTGACCAGAGGCCTGTTCAACAGGGCGAACGTTCGCGAGCGCTCGCCTAAATTCCTTATTTTTCCAACAGAAATGTTCGCGAGCGCTCGCGAAAGTTCGCTCTGTTGAACAGGCCTCAGTGACAAATTGAAATAATGACGATTTTGAATGAACAATGATGCATACTGTATAAAATGGATTTTAGGATTTCTTGTGATTTTTATACCCCATTCAAACACGTAGGTACCTGAAAATTACGTGTTTACAGTTTATTTCACGCATAATATGTTCCGCCCAAAATCTCAGGCGGAACGAGCTTGTTAGAAAATGGCCTTCGGATGTAAGAGTCCGAGGTATATAAGAAGCGTAGGGACGTTAACCGAGGCTCTTACTTGTCGGAGTACATCCCTAGATGCATCATACATGCAAGTTTGGTCCAGGTAGGGATTATAGTTACTTGGGAATGGACCTGCTCCAAAAAATTTAACCCGGTCACTCATCTGGCTAATTAATCTAGGTCAGATCCAGCATCCGAAGCAAGTGTGGTAGTGTCCATCCCTAGATGCATCATTCATGCAAGTTTAATCCAGGTAGGGCTTATAGTTACCTGGGAATGGACCTGCTCCAAAAACTATAACCTGGTCATTCATCTGGAAAATCTAAGTATTCTAGTATTCATATAAAGCAGAATTTATTCAAAATCTTATACATGAAAAAAAAGAAGAAATCTTGCTGTAGCCTTGAACTCGACATTTAGACATATCGACGACGTATTATTTATTAACAATAGTTATTTCCATTCATATGTCGACACGATATATCCCAGTTAGCTTGAAATAAAAGATACCACAGAGTCTGGCACATCTGTTTCATACGTAGATATTTTATTAGACAAAGACGTTGATGGTAATCTATCTACAAAGTTTTATGATAAACGTGATGACTTCAACCTTTCAATCGTCAACTTCCCTTACTTATGCAGCAATATACCCTTATTACCTGCAAATGGGGTGTATATCTCTTAGTCCATTCGATACGCAAGAGCATGCTCTACGTATGAACAATTTCTAAAACGAGATAATATTTATGACAAACAAGTTGAAGAAACAAGAATATCAACAGTCTCGTTTAAAGTTACCATTTCGTAAGTTCTATGGTCGATACAATGACCTTGTCAGCAAATACAATCTGTCATTAAGTCATATGCTGGTTGACGTTTTTCATACTAATTGTAAGGCCATTATTTACTCACTGAATTGTCTACGAAATTTCCCGTTATTTACCGATTATTACAAGGAGCACACGGCGGGTGTGACCGATCGGCAGGGGATGCTCACTTTTCCATGGCACCTGATCCCGCCTCTGTCTTTTGGAGGACCGTGTTTGCTCTGCTCCTGATTTGTATTGTTTGAATGGACTTCGAGCTTGAATACTGTTCATCACCCTATTTCAGATCCAGCATCCGAAGCAAGTATGGTAGTGTCCATCTCTATAGATGCATCATCCATGCAAGTTTGGTCAAGTAGGGCTTACAGTTACTTTGGAATAGACTTTCTCCTAAAACTTTAACCGGGACACCGACGGTAACGCCAACGCCGGAGTATAGCATAAGCTCATCTCGACTTCGTCGAGGTGAGCTAAAAATGGAACTTGTAAATTTACTTACATGTACATTGTTTGGTCATTTACAAAATTATTTTGTTTAAAAAAACACATTCTGATTGTACACACAAGTACTCCAAAGATGCTCGAGTTCCTTATTGACAATATCTATAGTTTTCCAACAATTTGTCGGAATTTCCATTGGTACCAATTGCGCCCCGTTTACAGTCCTTTTTGTATTCATATGAAGCAGAATTCATTCAAAAACTTCTACATGAAAAGAAGAAAACACTTCAACTTGACATTTCAATGTCGACTACATCTTATCAATTAACAATAGCTACTTCTATTCTTATGTCGACTCGATATATGAATGTAAACTTGGAAGTAAAAGATACCACAGATTTTGACATCTTTTTCATATTTGGTGGATATATTACTGGAAGAAGACGTTAATGGTAACCTAACAACAAAACTTTATGATAAACGTGATGACTTTCAACTTTTCTATCGTCAACTTCCCTTATTTAAGTAGCAATATACCCTTATCGCCTGCATAATTTACGGGGTTTCTGTCTCCCAATTGATTCGATGTGCAAGAACATGCTCTACGTATGAACAATTTCTAAAACGAGGCAAGCTATTGACAAACAAATTGATGAAACAAGAATATCAATAGTCTCGTTTAAAGTCATCATTTCGCAAGTTCTATGGTCGATACAATGACATTGTCAGCAAATACAATCTATCATCAAGTCGAATGCTGACTGATGATTTTCATACCAACTGTTAGGCCATTATTTACACATTGAATTGTCTACGGAATTTTCCGTTTTCCCCAAATTGACAAGGAGCACAAGGTGGGTGTGACCAGTCGGCAGGAGATGCTTACTCTTCCATGGCACCTGATCCCACCTCTGGTCCGTGTATGCTCTAGTTGCGCCTGGTTTGTATTTATTGTATGGACTTTTGAGCTCGATTACTGCGAGATGCCTTCATATTTGACTTTAAAAATGGAGATTGTCGATATTGGGGGATTTGCGACTAGTTATTGCCTCAACATATATAAGCCAATTAATTTTGGAAAATCCTTCTTATAATCACGAAGGATGTGCTATGGCTTTGGGCCAACTGAAAACGACGGATTTGAAAGATATATTCTTATACTAACTTCCAAATGGCCACTTATTAGTCTGCAAAGAATAGTATCATAAAACCTTGAAATTGTGAAGATGAACACGGTCACACAACCAAACTTGCCACAATGCATTCCCTTTTCCGCGACAAATTATGCTGCTATTCCCTTATATTTTTGCTTTTCCGCGCCTTATCTCAATATGTACCTCTTCCGTTAGCCAAGAAAAAAATCTTACAACGGAACCTTTTTTAACGGAATCCGGATTGGGCCACGTAGTTTAATATCGCACTATCAAGCATCGACTGTTGGGTCGACGACACAATGGTACGACACTGATGATGCGATGGCACGATAATGATGAAGCGATAGTGAGTATCACTTTCGTCATTGTACCTTCTCTCCATCGTCATCACACTATCGTGTCACCGCAATCATATCATCGCTTCATGCCATCGCACCATCTTCATCGACTCAAACCTCGATGAAGCGACAGTGAATTACATGGCCCATCAGGATACCATACTTTCTGCATCAGTTGTAGCTGTGGCTTTGCAAACTTTTCCTACGCTGCATCAATAAGAAACATCGCCATTAAAAATTTACTTCTTTATACGTGTATCTATCGTACATTAGTTACCAATAAATATCTGCAACCGTTTGACGCTATCCTTGGCCATTGAAAAATCGCAGAAGATACAGGCGATAAACAATCACGGAAAAGCAATGTGAAGAAGCTGAGGAAATGCAGACAGGGGGCTGAAATAAAAGGGCGGCCATAAAAAGATCTATTATTCAAACAAAATGCTTTATTATTACCGGAAGTAACGTTGCAGCTATAAATAACATGAACCGCGTACGTGGCGTAAAATTATATATCGGTTCCTATTTTTTGGAGGAAAAGAATAGCAAAGCAATATTTCCATTTTTTTTGGGGGGGGGGGGGGTTTAGTCTGTTTCGATGTCTACCTTCACTTCTCGTGATTCTCTTCAGTTCTGTAGCAAAAACTCGATAAAAGCTGATCTCCTGCATAAATATTGCAATTATAAAAGAAAAGAAAAAAACGTCTAAAAATTTTTATTCTGTATTAACTTTTTGTTTCATTTAATGATGCATATTCATTCATGACAATCGGCCTAACAACAGCCAGCTGTTGCCATGGCACAAAGTATCACAGATATTAAAAATTTTAAAACATTTAACAGAATATGACAAAGCCTGCTTCAGCACTGGACAATTACAAACCATTATTATTGGCATCTAGAGTGAATTTCCCAGCTTCTGAAAAAAGAGATTTTATAAATACATGTACACATGATCACGGAGCTCTGTCCATAGACAAAATGTCTGCCGGCTACGGAAAGTTTGTCATTTAGAAACAAAACATTTAACACTGGAATCATCAATCTTCAAATCATCCCGACTTTAAATGGGCCAGCATGCTGAACAAACTTCTGATGATACTAAATGGACCACGAATCTCCTGTTACAATAAATCTAAAGGCTAAATTTTTTTTAAAAATTAATGTCCAACACTGCAATACCGATATGCATTTTTTTCCCTGGAAAAATCAATGACCTAATTGGTAAGTAATACTGGTAAATAAAGCCGATCTGAAATACAAATCAAGGAATTTTACTTGCTTAAACATCAGAACTGGAACCTCGATATTCTACTTTTAAACACAATGATTTACAATGTTCATGAAAACAATGTAGAATTCCCTCCCACACTTTTCAACTGCATGGTGAACACATCCAACTACCGGCTGGTATCATTTGTTCTTCTTAGGACTCAACCTATATTTTCCAAAATTAACACATCAATTTGAATTTTATAATGAAGGGACCTCATCCAAAATTTCACGGATAAACAGCAACAATGTCATACATCACAATCGCAACCATGAAACAACTCTCTTAAATTAAATATCATGCATAAAAGCTCCAATATACAGACTTATTTACAAAGTTTATTGCATCTACTGTTGGGAGAAAAAGATCTTCCTTCACTGAACACTGCCTCATCTCATAACAATGTCTATGAACACAAGACTGCTCTTTGTGGTACTGGCCACCACATCTCATCACCATGACCCGGGTCATGAGGAAGAGATGTAGCTAATCACGTTCCATCAATCACAACACATCCGTAAATGCTCGAAAACTTACACACCGGAATCAGACATCCATGATGAACAGGGCAACTTCCTGTAATCCAGGACTGACTTCCCCCTTTTGATTACTTCCCATGGATATTTCAAACTCCCACTCACTATGCACTACTTGGGCATATAGCAACAGGAATAATTGGGGGTTCTTTGGCCTTCAGCTATACAGGGGCTTGCAAGGACCCATCCTGAACAAGGACTTCATGACCCGACTTATTCTTAAATGATAGGCCTCATACTGCTTGAAGAGCAGCAGCACTTAATTTACAGTCCAATTTGGTACTATCAGCATTAAAAACTGCACCCTTCTCTTTAAGAAACTGGACGCATTTATCCCAGTCGGAGAAGCCTAACTCACTCTGGACAAAAGATACTCCTACCATTGGTCGAAATCTACATTTATTGAATGGGATGATCAGCAGGTTGGTGAAAGGTCAACAAATGAAAAAGAAAACATAAGTATCACATTAATAACAAGCGCACACAACAATCATTTGGTCTGTACTTTATATTATACAATAACATTACAACAGTTAGCTAAATCAGGCTCCAGGGCCATAAAACTTAGACAAGCTCACTTCTGGTCTCAGTCTCACCTTAACATAAGGAGTTAATGGTGGAGAAGTGAGACCAAGATCAAAAGTGAGCTAATCAAAGTTTTATGGCCCCGGAGCCAGATGTTTAAATTTGTTATACTGTTCTTTTCATAGATTTTATTAAATTCAAAATTACGATGATTTTTTTGTAAACTTACCGCATACAAACCTGATCTTATTCACAATACTGGAAATAAGTAGCTTGAGTAACTTTATTCATGTATCAATCGAAACATTCAAAATTAACTTTTGTCAGAACATTTTTTATCACCCCTGGTTTGGGTTTTCTTAAATGTTTTGTGTATGATCATTTATAAATAATCCAACATGAACATGCCAAAATCAAATTTTTTTTACTATTTATACCACTTTAATTTTCTACTGTAAATTCAGAATAGTTTATAGTTTTTAGTAATATTTGATGATCATGAATTTAGAAAATAAAAACTGTTAAAATTTAATGTCTCCTTAGAAAATATCTGTAACAAGTAAATACATACGCTTTTGTAATGGTCTTGAGAGCCGTCTTTCTTGCTCTTTCTACAAACCAGTCTAAAAGGTAGCCTGACATTTTAGGAGCATTCTGATATAAAATAAAGAATTTGTGATAATTATTAAGTGCCCAAGCTGATCTGACTTCTAGGGCATGCTTTACGCACTGGTCTACTCGGTGTTCAAGAGTCAAGGACGCCAAAGCAGTTGTCATATCTAGTAGGTCAGTTAAGGTCATTTTTATGAAATTACTTATGAGATTTTATTTCAGAAAACAGAAAGATTTCCCATATCATTGTACATGTATTACAGCAGAAAAGGATACCAAGAGTATTGGAGGTGAATATGTAATAGAGAATTCTGTAAGCTGTGAATTCTAAGTGGTTTCCTTCAATTCCTTCATTGTACAAAAGCTTCAGCTGAGTTTGGCACTGGTTAAATTCTTCATGGTCTCCCTATAAATATAACAGACTATAATCAAAACAAACACAGCTTGACAGACACTGGACTTGTAATTTGCTTCTGATCAGTTTTCCACCTTATGTGACATGCAAGCTTTTCATATTTCAATTTCACAAAAAAATCATTCCTTATAAATGAGTGAACGGTTTGTTGCTAGATATCTGGGAAAGATATTTTCTCAGACTTGAAATGTTTTAAAACATCTCTTTTCTGAGCCATGAATCTCATTCCCATAAGACATGAATTCACAACTTCAAAAGTGGATTCAACAATTAATGGTTTTTCTGCTAGATTACAGAGTAGATTTTCAAAGATGAAACATATTTTCAAAGGATGACTGCACTTAACACTGGGTTTGGGGTTCTTTTTCAGTAGCTTGTTACTTTCTTATCCACTCCTATCTAATTTTACTTCTGTTAATTTGTCAACAAATTCGTTCAATTTAGAACCAAATTTAAATATCAAAATGATTATAGTAATACAATAAAATAATCATTTATTTTTCACCCTTACTGCTTTGCAAATATCAAGAATTTACATTTACCTGCCCTTGATTGAAGATTAGGTTGATAATATGCATGAGAGGTGGAGATAATACTGCAAGAACGGGTCTAAAATTAGACTAACATACTGTCATGCATGTATAGAAAAAAGTGATTTCCCCTCTCTTGCCCCTCTCCATATGGTCTCAAAATGAAATTGGTTACTTACACATAGCCAAAGGTACAGATAGTCATAAATCAATGTCTGATAGTGGTTCTGGAGAAGATGAAAATGTGAAAATTTTACAGACGACAATGGAAAAATTTCAAGAAAAGCTCACTTGGAGCCTTTGGCTCAGGTGAGCTAAAAATGCTCCTTTTGAAAGGTGATGTGTCACAAATATTGTATGTTGTTAAGTGCAGGAGATTAACATAAACACCCCCCCCCTCCCTCCAACAACAAAAAAATTTCAATACTTAACTTCTGCTGACAATTTTGTTGGAATGTTAATAAATAATAAAAGACATGAAATATGCCTTACTTTCTCCATTGCGATTCTAGCATGCGTCTCGTATACCCGCACCGTAAACTTGTCTCTGATCCCCTGAACCTGTGAAGAGAATAGGCATTTATGAGTATTTCAAGATAGCAGAGAAGGAAAAGGGTTTCTTATAAACATTTGTCAGACTGCTGCATATACTTTTCAAAATAAACCATGAAGAAGAAGTTTTGTCAGCTGCCTGTTACTGTCGCATTCAGCCCTTCAAGATGAACTCAAATATTGAGAACATCGTACACAAAGAATGCAAATGTAGCCTGTCTACTGCATACTAACATGCACTCAACAATGAAAAACACAGTATACAAAGAAAGCAGGTATACTATAACAGGAAGCCAGTAAGTTAAAGCATTCTATGTGGGTGGAGACTTCCAATGAGCCATACCGTCAGATCCTGTCGAATAGATTTCATCTGTTCACAGGCGTAGTGGTAGTCTCCTTTAGTTTTCCAGTGGTCCTGTACCATAGCCAGTGATTTCTTCAGTACTGCTGTTGGCCTTACCTGCCATGCCTCTGGTGCCTAAATATTTCAGAAAAAGAAGTGTTCACCCTCCAACAAAATACTTCAAACTTTCAATATACATACAGCTAAACTTCGAAATCTCGAACACGGATATCTCGAATACCCCAGATATGTCGAAGTAAGACCGCGGTCCCGACGAAATTTGCTTTATAAATGATTAGAATAAACCCCTCTATGTTGAACACGGTAATGTCGAATACCCCGGTTATCTCGAAGTAAAACTGTGTACCCATTTATTAAAATCACATGCGTTATCTCGAAGTCAGGATAATTTTCCGCTCTGATGATCAAATCCGTTAGGTAAACTGACCGCTCTAGTGATAACAGCCACCTGTCTGTCACGCACGGGTTACCCGTGTTCCTCTGATCAACAAATAATAGCGCGATAATTATACGAGGTGTATGTATGGCTTACCTTGATTTTAATTATGCAAGCCAAAGGTTGTGTGTATTAGTCTTATGCATACGCGTGGATGACACGTTAATTGTTTCATGGCTGGGGTACGTTTATAAATCTTGATAATCGCTATTTAATGCTATGTGTAATATGCGCGCTTGCATAGTTCATGCATATGAAAGCGAAAATTATAAACATCAAAGTGAAACAAAATTCTGTAATTTAATGCAATTAGAATTTATTTTTCCTACATTTGTATATGAGCGCGCAGAATTTACAACCGTCAGTACACACCATCATGTGAGCGTGTGTCGCAGTAAAACTTCTGCTATAGTGCCCTGTTATTCAGTGTTCTTCGGTAGTTAAACAAAATGCGTGTTTCTTCTTTTGCATTTGATTTTATAATGGTAAAATATTTTATTTAAATGATTATACATGTATGAACATGTTTTTCCAATTAAAAAAAATGTATATTTCGTTTGCGTTACTCTGACAGCAACCGGTTTTAAATTTACAATGCATAGACGATATCCGGTTATGTATACATGGGAAACGATGCTAGCGGTTGACTTACCGAGTTGGTAGAAGGATTAATACGTCTGTGCATATTATACAAGGTTTTTATTTTGTGATTTATAAAGAGGATGTAAAAATCTTTTTAATGCTAATTACATGTATATTAAAGAAAACGGATACAGAATTTCAAACAAGAAGGAATTTGACATGTTTCTACTATTTAAGTGCATGTTCACTGCACTAAGTTTATTTGAAGTTCATTAGAATTATAACCCTCGATATGTCAAACCCCCGGATATCTCGAAGTTCATCAACGGTCCCGTCAACTTCGAGATAACGAAGTTTAACTGTATATACACATTCACAAAATTTGTAAAAACCCACAAAATTACCTAACGGTTTTCATACATGGAACAAAAATTTCAAATAACTTGTAAAATATTTCCCTACCATTTATGAAAACTGAATTCCCATATATATGTGTACTTAAAACATTTGATAACAGATCCATACTCATTAATGAGACTGAATACCTTTGTAAGTCGTAAATAAGGCTTCTCTAAATCCTCACATGTTCCTATGATATTAAAGCTAGCAAGGTCCAGATCCTCCTCATCAGAATTCTACAAATCAAAAGAAATATTCATAATCTTCTTAAATTCAGTATTTTGTATAACATGTGGCATAAATTTCTATGAGCTGTTTCACTATTTAAGCTCTTTTCTAATGATTTTCATTAATCATTTTCAATAGTAAAAATTAACTATTCTTCTTGTTTATGCTTTTTGTTTATTTTTTCATCTAGAAATTCAATTGCCAATACAAGAAATGCCCTTTGGGTCATTCGAGAGCCTGCTCAATCAGGGCTTATTATCAATTGCATGCAGGTCTAGTAAAATAGGAAAACAATCCTATCCCCAATGAAAATTGACTCTTTTTTCCACCAATTCAAGGTAAATACTTACAACTGACAAGCAAATTAACTTTTTCATTGCTTTTTATCAAAAACATTCATTTTTGAGAATTTCATGAACATGTGAATAGAGGATAACCCTATAAACTAATTATATTTATTAAACAGTATAACATCATCAATATTCCAAATTTTGCCACTTTTTTAATTTAAACTTCCCAATTGAAATGGTACAGGATCCTGCACCAAAAAGTGTCGATTAAGCCATCAAATACCCTATCCATCACTTGCCCAAACCAGCTCTTCACATAAAAGATATTCATCAAAATCTGTAATTTGTGCATTTTTACACTTACATTGAAGTTATTGATATTGAGAGTAAACTCTGATTTTCTCTTTTTTGCATCGTTCCCCAAATGATGGCCAAACCTGGCAGCTCTCTTCAGTAGCCTGGCTGCCTTCTCTGGATCATTATCATCCTCTTCAGGAACAAAAAAACTTGAACAAAAACAAAACAATCTTGAATCTCTTCACTATTAAACCTCTTGTTTAATTTTGACATGCACATCTTTAACATGACAAAAGGTTCTTGTTTTGCCTACTTACTTTTTGCCCCTTTTCTTGATATTTTTTGCATTTTTGTTCAGTTTATTTGGGGTTCGTGCTTTCTTATCATCCTTGCCTCTTCCTCTTCCACGACCTCTTTGATTTTTCCCCCTTCCCCGGGGACTCATGACAGAGCCTCTTGAACTTAATGAAAGTGGAGTACTTCTTGAACTTGTTGAGGTATCACTGTCACTGCTAAATCAAACATAAGAAGTACATCATTAGGATATTTTTTTTAATTGATATAAAACAATTCTATTGATTATAAAGCCCTTTGGTCTTGTAAGCAACTTTTCTTCAAGAAGGTGCAACATACCTGCTGTGTCGTTTGCGGCTGGAGCGAGATTTCCTCTCTTTCTTCCGCCTTGGTGATCTAGACCTTGACCTTGAAGAACTGTAACTGTCACTAGAAAATGACCTTGACCTCCTATAGGTAGGTACCCTGTCTTTACTGTAGAGGTTTTTCACTGGTCCCTTTGCTGGAGACATACGACCTCGACCTCTTCCTCCTCTGCCTCTACCTTCACCCCAACGTTGCTTGCCAAATACTTTTGGTGATGGACTTAAATTTTCAATGCTGAAAAAGATTTTTTTTTTATTTTAACAAGTTCTTTTTTAACACCTTAAACATCACACTTTTTTTTAATCTTGATTACTCCAAGATATACTATGTATTGCTTTTTACCAAGAAATTAATATAGTAAACTATTGGATCATCTTTGTTATCCACAGACCACTAATACAATGGCCATTGCTGTAATGATCCAGATGCTTGAATATGGGTGTTCAAAAATAGACAACATTCTTGAGCAGTTTAATTATCTAATAGATATTTGTGTCAGTCTACAGCCTTGTTTTGCTGAATAACCACTGAACTAAAAAGTAAAGGCTCCAGCATAACTTACTTTCTGCTAAATGATGAAACAGATCTAGGGAAAAATTAAACTAAATGTACCCAATTTTTAAATCCTCTACTGTGGCAATACTGGGGCTGTGTATTAAGCCAACAATTTTATTATGTGCTGTCTCATTTATGTTTATATCATTAATTGATCAGTTTTAATTCAAAACAGTTAAATATTTTTGGTGATTGAAATTCCCAACTTTTATATAGAATTATAAGAAAAACTGCCTGCCTGATACGTATTGGAAATTATTTTTTTGATATGATACATACTTGAATATCGGTATGTATCGATATATTATTAAAGCCCTAAGCAATACCATGACCTCAAGTACCATGATCTGAATCAAGTGGATTAACCCCTACTTAGCCCTATTTTTAAAAATCATTTCTACTTGAAAGGAGATGCGATGCTTCATTTTCAATACTTCCCTAGATTGAATGATGCTTTAAACCAACATTATACCACTATATAATTGATTGTTTTTTAATTTAAGAAAAATACTGTGAAATCACTTATTTTCGTGGGGGTTTAGTTTCCTTTTAGTTTGAAGTATGATGAGACCCATGAATTGATGTCCCCCACAAACTATGAATTTTCAAATATATTTCAGCTCAGCATTTCTTCCACCATGAAATCAAATCCCCATGAACCAATACTTTTTCCCCAAGCCTCGAAAATTTGTAAAATATGTAATTTTACAGTATGCTATTCCACACGCAATGAAGAAACTTGATGCAAGTCTTCAGCTTTGTGGAGAGGGTAAACTGTGTTAGAGAAAACAACCGAGAACTATTCATTACACATTCAATAGACAAACTGACAATTTTAAGAGAAAAAACCTACATTGGCAAAGGCTCATTATCCCAGTCTACAGCCCAAGATTCACTCTTTTTAAAAGAGATTGTCAGTTTCTCTTTCAGCACTGCTTCCATCTGATCTTTATAACTCTGAGGTACACTGGCAAAAGCTCTCTGCACATATTTTCTAGGACAAAAAAACAAACCATTTACTTAAAAGAGACTGGTCTTCTGCATTATTTATAGGATCAAAATTTTTTTTTGAAAAGGAATGCTGTATATATCTTTAATTCCATGTTTACAACTTCAGTATTTTCATTGTGGTACATTTTTTGCTGGTTTCAGTTTCATGGTTACTGAATTGTGAAATACTTGCAATTCAAAATTTACTCCTTGGAAGATATTTACAACAATTATATCTAGTAAATAATTTACAGCTGTTGTGAATAACTTGGGGTATTCTATTGATTGTTAATGTCGATTGTTACTTACTCTCCAAGAACTAACTATAATGGAATAGGAAAAGTCGGGTTTAAGTGCATGGCACATATTTGATATCTTTTATATATGAATGCTACACTGATATTTCACAATATTCTTAGTTCACAAATATAGTGATATTAAAACCATTGTAATGTCCTCCACTTTTACAGTATACAGCACACAATATGGAGACATTACCAGTACTTACTTTAAGTCCTCTGGCCAATCCTGCATGGCTGGCTCAGCTGCTGCAGTAGCTCCAGGACGGTTACTTTCATTGCTGCAATAGACCCGCACGAATATGTAAATAATTTTAACCAAGACCAACAAATTTTCTTCAACTGACATTTGGAAAAAAAAGATCACTACAATTCCTCATACAGACCCTTCTTTTCCAGGTGTCTGGACCAACTGGGTGGAATCTGAAGACTTCTGAATCTCACCAATCTGTTTCTGATTTTCATTGTTTGCTTTTGCTTCCTTAGAATATGGCGACTGAAATCTTCTCTGGCCTGCGAATGGCTGAGATGCTTTTAAGCCTTTTTTGGGTAGCTGGAATCTAATTCCATTTGTACCTGGAGGGTCTGTTAAGTTCAACAAATTAGTAAACATATTCAAAATCACAATAATATATTTTTTAGTATCATTTTATGATGGTGCCAACAAAAGTTTGAAGTAAGAATCTGAATAGATCCATGGTAAGATCATGATAAACATGCTTAGACTCAATACTATCACTGTTATAGCTTTAAAGTATTTTCTTGTTCAAAACCACCTAATCTGATCACATCCTATGGCTCCATTCTACTAGCATATAATAATTAAGATCACAATAACTCTTAAAATTTACAGTACTTAAAAAAATAAATTAAATCATTTGTTCTTGTTTTGTGACATTTAAGTGTTTTTTTCAATGATCATCTTACTTCTTGGTCTATGTTGGAAATTGTTGAATGGTCGAGGTTTGAATTGAGGAGGGGGTGGAGGAGGTTGTTCATTTCCAGTATTTCCTGGAAACCTTGGCCTACCACCATCAGGTCCTGGGGGTTCCTGAGTAGGGGGTGGTGGTGGCGCTCCATACATCTGTTACAAATAAGCATGAAATCAAAACACAGAATTATAAATAACAAGTATTCTGAGAATAATCCATGAGCAATTCTAGTCCACTACATGTATGGGTTAATCAATAAAGCAAAACAAATGGTGAACTTGACCTGTGATTTATCAACATAGACTCACATACCAAAAATCAGCTCAATACCTTAAGGTGTCTAGACAAAAAGGTCTGGAAAAAACAAGTGGGAAAGACTGACTGACAGTCATCAGGACTTAAAGAAAACCAATTATCTTTCATCAGTAGAGGACATGTTATGCTCAAACAAATAAAGAAATAAGTCTGAACTTAAAGGACTTGTCGCATGATTTCTCAGAAATCTTAATTTTATGAAAAATATTATCTACAACCTTGTTTATTAAAATTCTGAATACAATAAACGTTGTTGAAAGCGTATTTTAAGAGATATTGAGAGTTGAAATTCAAATACGGCAATATGCATATTTCAGTCGGATTTCGGCGAATTACTGCTCTGACGTCATAGGCGACAATTCAGTGATAGAGAGATGAGAAGTTACACACTATTTACGGAGTTATCAATGACAAATGCAGCTTATTATGAAAAAATGCTGATAAAATTCATTCCTAATGTGATTTTCAATTACTATAGAAACATTAACTAGTTCTAAGGTGTAAGAATTTTGAGATATTTTCGTTTTTTATTCCAAACATTTAGAATCTGTAGGTCTGATTACGGCAATGTTTCGTGATCGGAAAATTATTTTTCAAGACCGCCATCCTTTACAAAACATATGAAGGCATACTTGCATAAATTAATATTATGTTAAAAACGAAGAATAACAAAGTTATGTAATTTGAATTTGTGAATCAAATAAGTTCATACATGTGATAAAATGACAAATTATCAAATTGTATTGTTATGGCGAGTTTCTTCGTCTTCGCCGCGTCTCCCTCGCTATCGTCGCTGCTATTTTTACAATGTTAACGGATTTTTCAGATTATTTCTTGCTGACATTTCTAAAATATAAGGTTGGATATCAAAAATCATATCTATAAAATCAGTGATTTGGTCGTCCATAACGCAGAAAATTCAGGTTGTATCGCGTATATTTTAGTAAGATTTACGTGAAGAGCTGATCAGCCATTGTCGTCTTTGACGTCACAGGGTCACGTGATCGCTATCTAATTAACTTAGATTTTTAATTCAGGGGTTTTCATTTGGGTCAATAATTGGTTAATTACCGCGGTTTATCAGCAGTAAAAACACAAAATTTATAAACTGTGGTCATAAGGAACGTTTTACACTTTTAATCTCAAATAATTTAGAAGCATGCGATAAGTCCTTTAACATCTCCAGTTTATTGATAAAGGCCTAGAAATGATTATACAAATTTGTATGAACTTACCATCTGGTTTGGCATTGGAGGTTGTTGTCTGTATGGTGTATAACCTGGTCCTATTGGTCCAGGTCCACCCATTGGACCAGGGCCACCCATAGGTCCTCCCATACTGTTCCTTCTGAAAGGTGTAAAAAAAATGTATTTAAAAAAGTATTAAGACATGGAATCAACTACGGCTAATAATTGAGCAAAATATTTCGATACGATACAATACGATATTTTATAAAGCGATATGCGATATATTGGATTATTTATTAAGTCTTTCAAAAATGTCTTATTAATGACATTTAATGCATAAATTTGATAAAAACTGGGTGAGTCTAACATAACATGTTAAAATACAGTTGTATATGTATTTTGTAATAGTTATTTAAGATGTGCTTTCTCATTAATGTTTATTTCATTATTGACCAGTTTTAATTCAAAACAGTTCAAAATAATCTTTGGTAACTGAAATTCCCAACATTTTTACAGAATTATAAGGAAAACTGCCTGTCCGTTACGTATTGGAAGTTATTTTTTCGATATGATACATTCCTAAATATCGATACGTATTGAATATTCGATATATTGACACAGCCCTAGAATCAACTTTTTTATTGTCTACATACTGTAATTGTTGCATAAACTTTAAACTTAATTGGTATACTTACTGGTTTTGAAAGAACGAAACCTGTTGATAATAGTATGCAGCATTGGGATTGTTTGCAAACACATTAAGGTGAGCATTGTTTTGTGCTGAATTGTCTTGAGTGGTTTTCTTCTTGCCACTTTCTTCCTGAGCTTTCTCCAATGCTTTTCTTGCTTGAGCCCAGTGTGGATTCTCATTCCCAGTTGGATTAGAGGGGTCATATTGTTGTGACCTAATTAACAAATTTAATAACCAAGACAATCAATCCAAATATCAACTGAAATTTCCAATACATTTTTTTTTTACACATGATTTGAAAGAATACTGTATTCTTGTGTCTTCAATTAGAATACTTCATGTACGTAACATACTAGAGCGCCACTGAAAATGCCCCACAATGATGATCAGAGTCTAGGACATTTGGTCAAAGCCCACTGATAAAATTTTGAGTTGATGCAATTGTTATAAAACTATCTCCAAATATTGGTCAAAGCATAACATGGTACTGAACAAAAATTCCCCTAATTATTTAGCACTGTTTAAGTATTTTCAAAGTATTTCTGAATATCAAAAAAATCAAGTTGACAAGAAAATAATCATTACAAAACTCTACCCAATTAATAATATTGGTCAGACAGTCCCACAGTAGAATTTTATTGTAAAGTATTCATTTAAACTGTCTCCAAGTGTTGGTCATAGAGCCTCTTAGATTCTAATCTAGAACCGTCCTTTAAATAGATAGAATGTTTTATCGTTAAAATGATATTGTCCTACGGACCCGGTTTAACGATAGAATTCGTTCCGTGTATTCGCAATGTAGCAAAATAAACACGGGCGATAACTCGAACTCTGTGCATTTTCTATGAACAATCCAGAGAGTTCCGAATGTCAACATGACGTTAAATTTGACGCGAGGAAAAAACGTTGAGAAAATGAGTTGAATTTTCGTATTTATATGGATTATTTTTTAGGTTAAAAGGCATATACAATCTCAAAAAGGTTTGTTATGATTAATTTGGTAGTTATTTTCAGTGCAACTCCTTTTGTATTCTTCAAAATCATTTCGGAGTGGATCCACTCCGATTTGCTACATTGCAAGTATATGGGACATATTCTAACTGTGGTGAGGGCTTGTCCCGAGACACAGTTAGATTATTCTAACTATCCTTTAAAGAGCTCAAATGTTGTATTTGCCCGGGGAGCAAGAAATTGCACCATCACATATTTTAGATAAATTCAATAAAAACTCAGTTGTGGGATTTTCTCTTAAAATTTTACTCGAAAGGCCACATATCAAAATGGAGGGAGTATACATTATACTCCATATAACATGCATAACAATGATGGCATTGAAGGCCAAAAGTGGTAATAATTTACCCAATGAATCCAGACAAAAAAAATATGCTTATTCTCATGTTTTCGATTACATGAAATTGAATTCATTGTTTAAATAGAATACGAATATGTACATGCTGACAAAATGGACTTTTATCACACTCATCTAAAATCAAAATGGTGGACAAGAAGCGTGTATATATTTCAACATTCACCTCATGTTCTCTTTCAAAACTGACGGTAAATGAATGTGTTTGTATGTAGGAAATTTAAAACGTTACCACATGGCTGCTTGTGTCGCTGCTGATGCTTGGTTTTGCTGCCATGCCGTCGTCATTTTTCTTGCCGTGGTGAAACTATTCTCGACCTTAGTCTCGTTTCTGATAAACATGCAATGACGTCATATATTCACGTGACTTTGCCGGAGCTACCAAGAGTTGTCGTTCTTTTCATTGCTAAAATGGGTTATTTTAGTTTAACCGTTAAGAAGTGAAGTTGTGAAGTGTAGCGTCTACACCCCACCCCCACGAAATAGGTTTTTCACATATTTGGGAAAGGAGTTTACGTTTTTTTTTTTTTTTTTGCATGTCGGATCCTTTTTCTGACTGGTGTGGACCCTGGAAAAAATTCCTGGATCTGCGCCTGTTACACGTTTCTGTGGAAAAAATCTAATACTGGTACATTTAACAATGTCAAGGGCCTGGTATGATAAAATTATTAATCTTGATGCACAGGTACCTGTGGACAGGACCCACCCCGATCATCGTCCGAAACCCACGACCATACGCGAGATTGACCGTACGTGAGTTTCCCACATAGTGAACCCCCTCTCCATTTTATATCGCCTAACCAAAGTTGTAATTGTCGAGATACAGGAAAAAATTAAAACTGTGTTGGAACCTGCGGTAAACATTGAACGTTTTCTCAAAAAATATTGTAGTCTGTGTATTCAAAGCAAATAAGGGGGGAATAAATGAAAAGAAGTGGCATTTAACCCCCCCCCCCCAATCGTTTGCTTTTAACAGTGTTTAAAGGAGCATACAGTCTATGTCTTGTAAATGATGAGACTTTCATAGAATCTTCGTTACACAGTACCATTGTGATCTCCTATCTAATGTTTCAATTGGACAGTTATTCGGGGTTTCCCGTAGCAAAACATGTACTTTGCTATTATACTCATATGGGAGCGGGGGGATCAGTTTGTAAGCTCTTGCTCACACCTCTAGGTGATCATATCTTCGCTAGCCAAGAGTGGAATGGAGCAGATCAGAAACACTTGGCTATAACAAAGATGCTCAGTTTCTTTTTTTTTTTCTCAAGTACTGTATTTCTTATGCTCTTATGTATGTAAGGTAATGGTACATAAGTCATTCACGATGGAATGATCTTTGGCAATGATTTTGAAATATTTTACTCCGGAATATCTGACGTTTTCAAGGCGTATTTTTACTATGCTGATATTTGACGTGTGTAAATGTTGAAACGTACTTTGAAAAAATTACGCACTTTGAAAAAACAATTCAAAGTGCGTTAAATTTGGGACCAAGTTAACGCACTTTGAAAAAATATTTCTTTTCAAAGTGCGTTAATATCGACCATATTAACGCACTTTGGAAAAAATATTCATGGCTTGGTCAATATATTTGCAAATTTTAGGTATGATAAATAATTATTTGAATCTGGTTGATTAACTTTTCGGTAGGGATGTCAATTTTGTCAGTAATTAATATTCGAATATTCAATGGAAGTATTCGAATATGTTCGAATATTCGATAAAATACATGTAAATAAAATCTGGTTTATTTTAAATACCGGTATGCATCATCCTACTCTCATGAAAGATCTAGCGTAGGTATTCTTATATTGGAAGTAAAATTGTATGAAGATTTTGTATATATGTACAATAAGGAATTCCATTTGATATTTGTCAATGTTTGAAAAAAATAATTGATTTAAATGTAGAAAAGTATAATTTTAACAATTGATACATGTGTATTTATAGTAGCTCCGAGGAACCAGTCGTCTTACTAAGGATAGTGGTATACTGTTCAGATTTCAATACATGTAATTAATTACAATTATCCACCTAATAAGAGATATGATTGTAATGTTTGATACAATGTTTTTAAAATATAAACAAATATTACCATAGACATCTTTCATAGGTAATTAACTAATTTTCCGATAATGAATATAAAATTCAAGATTATGTACAACCCGAGATAATCAAGTAATATACAAATCTATTCTGAAATTAAGCCCTCTACAATATTCATTACAGACTAATTCTATCGGACAATCATTTAATGATGAATTAAAATTATTTTTATAAGTTTACTCTTGAGGTCTTTTAGACATTCTAATTTTAATTTGTTTGTTTTATTTGAACCAGAGACATTACATCTCATAGGTATACAAAATATGTACATAAATATTTATACATAAGCTTTGCACAGGATAAGTGTAGTATATGCTATACAATATACATTACATGTGGCAATTACATAAACAATAGCATTTAATGTATTATCATTTCTTACTGTACACTATTTAAAACATCATTTCTTAATTGATAAGAAAAATACAGAAATTTACCTAGGTTACATAGTTCTTTAGTATTTGTGGAACTCAGTAACTGTACTAATTTAAAAACTGATGGTTTTTTTAAAATAATAACTCTTGATATATTTAATTCTTAGTTCTTCATATCGAGGACATTTTAATACAAAGTGAAATTCGTCCTCTATCTCATTTGATATACATATTTCACATTTTCTATCTTTTCTTTCTATGTTACAATACCTTCCCCTCTCTATCTTTAAATCATGCGCTGATAGTCTTAAACGACTAATAGGTATTCTATACTTTGAATGTAATGGTTTTCTTAAATACGTCTGTAGTACAACATTATCCACTACATGTTGATATAAAAAATATTTAGGAGAATTACAAATTCTTGCCATAATATCTTGTTTATAACCGTCATACATTCTTTGAAATACGATGTTCAAAGAATTATTATCAATACAATTGCTATTATACATGTCAGTTAAACCAAGCCTTTGAAATTCCTTCTTAATGTTTACAATCCATTCATCATTATTTTCCACCATATCTTGATAACATGATTGTAAAATACAATTATCACTGTTTTTTAATTTCACCCAATATTTCAAAATTTTCTTTTTCCTTTCTAGTATAAGTGGAAATCTACCTAATTCACAATAAACTGCATCATTACTGGTGCTTTGTCTGACTTTTAAAACTCTTTTATAATAAGTTAAGTGAACATTTTCTATATCTTGACCCTTGTGAAATCCCCACACTTCAGCTCCATAACTCATTACACTGTTAATATAGGTATCGAATACTGCTAATTGTGTTTCTACGTTAAAATGCAAATCCCTAGTTTTACTGTTTACACCATACATAGCTTTTTTACTCTGACATGAAAAATGTTTCTGTGTTTCAGCAAATTTGCCATTATAATTGAACAACATTCCTAGATAATTAAATTGATTAACAACTTCAACAATGCAACCGTTGTATATCCAACGTTCATTTTCAAGGATTTTACGACTATTGCGAAAAATTAATATTTTTGTTTTTTCAACATTTACAGTTAAATTCCACTCTGTGGTGTATGTATACAATGCATCCAACATTCTTTGTAAACCATCAGCAGAGTCAGATATTAAAACAGTATCATCTGCATACATCAGTAAAAATATATTTAACATCTGCAGTTCAATTGATGGACAATTATTTGTAATAAAGTGACGTTCAAAGTCATTCAAATACATAGAAAATAACAATGGTGATAAAATTTCTCCTTGTAACACACCAGACGTAATTTCAAAATACTCTGTAAGTAAGCCATTATATTTTACACATGCCTTGATATTATCATATAAAGACTTAATAATACAAAGTAATTTCCCTTGAATACCCTGAGAACTAATTTTAAGCCACAAGTTAAGTCTATTGATATAATCGAAGGCTTTTTGATAATCCACAAAACAACAATAAAGTTTCCTTTTGTTCCTTAAAAATTTGTTAACTAGCGTCTGTAGTACAAATATTGCATCAATGGTACTTGCACCCGGCTTGAATCCAAATTGTGCATCTGTAATTATGTTATATTCTTTGTCCCAATGCATTAGTCTATTATTCAATATGCTTGTAAATAATTTGGCCATGCAACTAACAAGTGTAATTCCTCTATAATTATTAGGATTATTTGTATCCCCTTTCTTAAATACTGGCACTATACACCCAGTAGACCAGCTCTCTGGATAATGGCCTGATTCTAAGAAGGTTTTCATTTTGTTGTCCTTGATTCTAGATCCGATTGTATTTATTTAATAAAAACTAGGAAAATACGTTTTGTAGTATACATAAAGCATTGTTGTATAATTCTTTAATACCTTACTCAAAACAAAATAATTTAGTAGTGTCCTTCCTGATATACTTTATTTTGACAAATAAAATATACAACATGACTTTCACAACGAATCAACAATCTTTGATATTGTAAGTTTTGTTTAAGTATTCCTTTCATTGATTAATGTAGTAAGGATGTTTAAGGTAAAATAATGGGTTTTATGATTTTTCTTATTATGAGTTAAAGTTATTCATATTGATAAGGTTAACGTAAACTTGTTTACATTTTGTCAGTTCGAATTTCCTTACTAAATCTTATTTAGCCAAATGACTGTTTAGTTTTTTTTATATAGAGTGAGTATTTTTGTATTGTTTGATCACTCTATCAGTCACCAGAGTTAGGTAAGTTAGAGCACCAACCTTTGTAATGCTTTATGCAGGTAGAAATATAATTTTATTGTGCCTGGTGACTATATATTTAGTCAGCCCACGGGCTGACTAGTTACGGTGGGATGAAACTGCAAGTGCGCTTGCGTAATTTGGAATTCTGGGAAAAAGATGTACAACACTTGTTATAAAGAAACTCGTGCTATTTGCTCCAACCAAAGGGCGTGATTCTTCACAAACACCTTCTAAACAAAGACGCAACCTCGATCTATTTATAGACTGCATTGTTCTTCGTCGTTCTCGGCGAAAAATTAAAGAAGAGATTGTTCTAAGTGGGAAATATGATACTATGAAAATATTTCAGTGCTTCTTATAGAAGATGAGAAGTTTATATGCAGAGCACATTTAACACTTGATATATATACCCTCAATCGCCGTTGCAAGTTCACGGATTTGTGTGTATTCCTCTGAATGATTGATGCAAAACTCCCTCGATCAATACCTTGCATAAGACATGTACGGGTCGGAATTCACACAATATTCCACTTGCACAAAGGTCCCAAAACAGTGAAAAAAAGAATCTCTTTTCACTTTAATGATGAAAGTTATGAAAACG